CTGGGTGGGTAGCCCCTCCCACCACACATGCTGCCATGACTACACTATTTTTAGCATGCTAGCTCAATCAGAGCTAGTGTGAGTGTGTCTCCTCCACCTGGCAATCACACCCCCAGCTCGAAGTGTAAACATACCCTAAGAGGGTCTCCAGGGTTCACATAGCTCTCCTGTTTGCCTGGGGCCCAGTTCAGAAAACACACAATCCAAGACAACAGGTTAGAAAAATACATACAGCAAGGAATAAGATACCCTGCAATGCTGACAATAGACAACAAACCTCTGATATGCTGATATATCAAGTACATTGCATTGATTCCATTGCATCAATCCAAGATAAACTAATCCAAAACTATCCCAATTTTCTCATTTGGTCTTTGAGGATGTTTTTCTTCATCCTCATTTCTTTTCCCATATCATATTCATTAATAGTTAGTTCATGCTGCATACAGAGCAATAATAATAGCATGGCTACATTAAGAGGAAAATACCTTGTTTTACATGGTTGGCTCTGGCTGATGTGTAACAGAATATAGTAATTCATTCAGTTACTCTATGAGAGATTTGTTTTCAGTTAGTTGTACAGGCACTTTAGGTGAAGGAGTTAACTTGAAACATTTGGGAGTGTTCTTGTGATCTAACGTATTCTAGGTACTTGCCCTTTGTCTCCTACAATCATAAATGACTAATGTAAGAAACAAAACACCCCTATGAAAAATGTGCATGGTTAGGAAATTTCAAGCAATTTAAAGTATCCTTGAAGTGTCGTATATTTTATTGTTCAAGTATACATTAATGTCTCTCTGTCTCGCCCTTCAAAGGCTTCCATTGGCTGCTTGCCTGGGGGAAGAGGGAAGGATTATGAGTGGGATGCCCAAAAATGTCTTTGTTCTCAGAACATGCTAAAGAGCACAATGCAGGACAAAAATATACTCCTGTTTATAGGGGTGCCCTTTGTTTAGGGCAGTAACCAGTGAATTTCAGAAGGATTGTTGGGTGCTTTCAGATAAGCAGCCAATGACATTTTGATTGCTTAGCTGAATCTTCTCCAATTTCCATTCTCTACAAACTTGGTCTAGAAATCTAATAATAACGGGTTCTTTTGTGTGTCCCAATATTTTCTGCTTCCACTGTTTCTAGAAACATCACGATAACAGCATCTCCTGCCTTTGTGCCCCGGGTCACTTCTACTACTTAGAACCAGGAAGGCCTGAGGGGAGCCAGAACTACAATAAATGTTAAAGTTAATGCACAGTGGACTAGATGGTCCAAGGGGTTGTTGACAAACCTGTAGGTTAGTGATTCAAGTCTCGCTTGAGTCAGGAATCTATCTGATGGCTGTTTGGTAGCCTATAATGTGAAATTAATTAAATTAAATTAATCCACCACCTCCAGATACGTTATTCCAAAGGTCTTTTCAGAGCATAGTGACACAGTGACACCACTTAAACAAATCAAGGCACCAGAGAAACATGGATTCATAGGAATGCTGTACAGGATCGCATCTGCCACCCATCTAGCCTGATATGTTTTCTTTCACAGTGGCCAGTATTAGATGCTTCAGAGGAAGGACAATTCTGGAATAAATTACACAGGGGAAGTTTCTTCCTAACGTCAGACAGTTTGTGCTCTGAAGCATGAAGGCATAACAGGAGGTTAACACAAATCACAGAGTGGGAAATGGGGGAGACAGAATAGCAAAACTAATAGGATGTTCCAAATTCTTAGCCAGTCAGGAGCAGTAAATTCAATTCGGCACCTATCTAGCTGTGATCAGCTTGCAGTTTACTGCATGCATTATGGAAGAGGTAAGTTTTGAGGAGGGACTTGGTGATTGCTTTATAAAATTTGACTAAGGGATTCCTCCATGCATCACAGGTAGCATGGAGAAATCATGGGGAGGTAATATGATTAGTCAGATCTTTGAAGTATTATGTTATTATGTGGGTACCACAGTTACACTTCTCCAATGTAATGTAACTGGATGTTCTCATTACTCATATAATGCCTCATCCGTTTTGGAACCCTCTTTTGGAAGTTCTTGCAGTCAGCAATATCTGCACCTGTATTGCCCCTCTGTGGCCCACCACAGGCACCTACTTTTAGGCTCCCAGCTCCACAGCTGTCACTTCTCCCGGGCAGAGACCCACATCTCTCTCCCTCCTAACTGGAGGTTTTCCAACTGCACAGTTCCCTGCCTTCATCATGAGTTCCCCAGCAAGTCAGGTGGCCTAGGCAGGCCAGCTTTGCTTTCCTTTCTCAGAGGCTATAAATAGCATAATTGCCCTGGTTAAAAGTCACCATACAGCCCTTTCTAAACTCACATTTCTTTCTAAGGTGAAAGCAGTATAGAGAAAACAGATTACAAACAATAAAAAAACCTACACACATGCTAGGAAGCTTATCAGAGGTCACTCCCACTCCAACAAGGACTCTGGTAGGAGTCAGTAGTTCAAACACCAACAAGAGTTTTCTGTGGTTATTAGTTCAAAACAGCTGTTAGCCCAGAACAAGCACACCTATGAATCTGTGCATCTCTCCATTACACAGCTTTGGCCTTTGAGCCTTAAATTCCAGGAACAGGTAATCAGCAGATAATGATTCTTTCCACAGGGCATAGCTTCAAAAGGATGGATTTTTGCATAACTGGGGGGTGTGGTATATTTGCATTCATCTCCCCCTAGAGATTTCCTGGGAAACAAAGTTAACTTTGCTTGTCCTGAAAGTTCATTCTTGTCTGGCACATTGTTTCAGATAGTCCTTTGAAGCTCATAACACTTCCCAGGGTTTACATTGGCCATGTCTCCCCTCTAGAGGCGTTACATACAATTCCACAATAATACATAAACTTTGAATTTTTAATACAATGGACTCCAAGATACTTAAACTTAATTCAATAAGATTTTTCAAGGCTATTGCAAGAAATTGCCATATCTGTCATAATATCTTGTTGCAGAGAGTTCCACAGGTTAGCGATGCATTATGTAGAAAAACATTTCCTTTTATTAGTTTTGAATTTACTGGCCTCCCCTTGTTCTTGAGTTATGAGACACCATTCACTCTCTATACCACTCACTAGCTCATATGACCTCTTTTTATCTCCCCTCTAAACTAAACTGTCCTGTTCTTTTCACTCTCACCTGATAAGAAAGTCTTTCCATACCTCTCATCATTCTCATTGCCTGTCTCTGAACATCTCTCTTTCTGCTAGATATGTTGTTAGATGGAGTGACCAGAATTTAATACGTGATTCCAGGAGAGGACCTACCATGTATTTATAGAACTGCATAATTCTGTTCAGTGTTTTCTCCATCCCATTTCTTATGCTTTTTAATATTATGATTGGGTTTTTTGACCGTCTCTGCACACTGAGAAGATATCATTAAGCTGCCCACAGTGACACCGAGATGTTTTCTCTGAGTGGTTACAATTAATTTAGAACAGGGGTAGGCAACCTATGGTACGCGTGCCAAAGGCGGCACGCGAGCTGATTTTCAGTGGCACTCACACTGCCCGGGTCCTGGCCACTGGTCCGGGGGGCTCTGCATTTTGATTTAATTTTAAATTAAGCTTATTAAACATTTTAAAAACCTTCTTTAATTTACATACAACAATAGTTTAGTTACATATTATAGACTTATAGAAAGAGACCTTCTAAAAACGTTAAAATATATTACTGGCACGCGAAACCTTAAATTAGAGTGAATAAATAAAGACTCGGCACACCACTTCTGAAAGGTTGCCGACCCCTGATTTAGAACCTAGTAGGGTGTAGGATCGGTGTAAATTCTTCTTTCCAATGTGCATTACACTGACTTTGTCAACACTGAATTTCATCTGCATTCTTGCTACCCAGTCACCCAGCATGGTTAAGTCCCTCTGAAGTTCCTCACAGCCTGCTCTAATCTTAACTGACCTAAATAACATTGTGCCATCTGAAGCTTTTTCCACCTCACTGCTCCCCCCTGCCCTTTTTCAGAGAACTAATCAGTACCTCAAATAACACCATCCTAGCATAGAACTTTGTGGCATCTCACTGTTTACCTTTTGCTATATTGCAAATTGACTCTTTCTTCCTCTGGACTGATTTCTGCCTTTTAGCCTGTTTCTAATCTTCCCTCAATGGTGGTGAATTTAATTATATTATAGTCACTATCACTCGGCAACTCAACTATAGCTGCTTCTGGAACTTACCTCTATGTTACTTAGGACTCAGTTTAGCATAGTCTCTCCTCTTGTGTTCTCCCACTAAGGTGACAAGAAGTTGCTTCTCTACCTATGGACCTGAAAGGCCAGATTTTCAAAGATATTTAGATGTCTAAAGATGCCGATAAGCTCCTAGTAGGAATTTCAAAAGAGAGTAGGTGTCTAACTGTCCTTGACTTCAAAGGGAGCTAGGCATCTAACTTTTAGCTGCTTTTGACAATCCCACCTGGCACCTATCTGCATCTTTAGGCACCTAAATACCTTTGAAAATCTGGCCTGAAGTGGCATTTGATCAGTTTTTATGCAGGTACTAAGAGATATCCATTATGACTCCTTTTGTAGGTGTAGTTTTTACTTTCGTCTTCCTCAGCACTGTTCATTCAATAGCATTTTCTTTAACTGGAGACTGGGAGTATCATTTCACTCATATATTTGTATTCCTATCATTTGGGACTTGGATCTCTACAGATTCAACTGTGTGGTCCTCTCTACTCAGAACTGGTATCTCACTAGGTTCCATGGAATCTTTCAGATAGTGGGACTCCCCCATCTCTCTGACCTAATCATTCCTTCCTGTATAGTTTATAACCAGGTATTACAGTATCCCATTGATTATTGTCTTTCCACCCTGTTAAACAGAAATGCCACTTACATCACAATCCTCTTGCAATGCTGGACATTTTAGCTCGCCTGCTTTTGCTTCTAAGTTTCTTTCATTGATATCCAGATATTTGTAGTTGGTAAACTCTGTTGAGTAGTGGAATGGCCATTAACTGATTGTCAGATAGAACTCTATTGGCTACATCTGAAGGTCAATTGAATGACAATGACAAGCTGATGGGGTAACTTGAGTATAATTTATATTTCCTACTGTAATAATACAATTAAGCATATGTGTGAGTAGATGTGTATTTGCTAATATGCCTGTGCATTTGCTGTAACCTTTCCATTTGCCTTTATATTGATAGCTCATTTGGCAGACATTTCTTCTCTAGTTAGAAAGGATCTGGAATTTTCTGGGCATTCCAATAATAATACTAATTTGTCACTTGAGCCAAGATATTTGTATACTAAGTGCTGTCCTCAGGGAAGGTCTCACTGTATATCAGTATCTATCTATATATCTATTTCTAAGTGTTGTTGTAGCCATGTTGATCCCAAGATATGAGAGAGAGACAAGGTAGGTGAAATAGGAGTTGCTCCAATAAAAGATGGTGCCTCACTTACCTTGTCTATCTATTTCTAAGGCATTTATCACCTTTGTATCTAAGATGAGAGCATGACTTTGCCAGCCAGGGCCATTCACAAAGTGGAATTCAGCAGTTACGTGCAGAGCAACAGGACCTAGCAGCTTACATCAGGAAGTGCAGAGTGCCCTGGAAACTGTGGAGGATTTAGAAAGGCAGAGTGTCATTATCAGCACTGGAATAGCCAATAGACCTCTCTCTTACAAACAGTGTCAGAGAATCGGTACAGAGGGTCAGGCTCCTATTTTTACATCTCATCCAAAAGCTGGCATTTCCAGCAGCATAGCATCCTCTCCCACCATGCTGGGGTGTTGATTCAGTACCAACCCCAAAGGAAACATGCTGTGCTGTCTTGTGGGGGCAGTTCCAGGCACACACCGGTGAATAGTCCTCACACTCGGTGAACAGGGCTCCAGCAGACTTCACAGCTTGGGCACCAGCAGTGCTGGGGGTCTTGAAGTACAGCTCTCTGGAGGCTTAAAAGGACACACCTTACAAGGGCCATCTGCTGAATTGTCAACATTGATTCCAAGAGCATCACTTTGTCTCATTGGGCATCTCTTCTCCGAGTGTTGGCTAGTACTTGGGTGAATAAGGTACCACTTAACAGCTCACTCAGTGGAGAAAAGCAGTTATTCCCTCTTCCTACGAAAACACGAACAATTCCAATAGCTGAGCAGAAAGAGCCAGCACTGTGTAATTTACTAGCTGGAGCTGGTGATCTAACATTCTCTGTATTTCTGTTCTGCAGACTGAGGATTACCTAAAGCACAAGATCAGAAGCAGGCCTGAGCAATCAGACCTGGTCAATATGCACATTTTACAAGGTAAGGCTGGATGAGCTGTTCCTCACATATTTGTAGATTTTTCCAACCCTTCATCTCTCTTGTGGCCACAAATCCTCAGTTGCTTTCCTGTTTCTCTGCAAGATGCACTTTTAGGGTTACTTTGCCCCAGATCTTGATGGCAATCAGACTATGTAAGGGGCTTGTAGCACAAGGTATTTCATGTTGTGCCCAATGCAGCCCTGATCATCCATAAATAGGCATTGACAGCCTGAATCAGACCTGAGGTCCATCTAGCTCAGCATCCTGTGTCTGACAGTGGCTGGCACCAGGTCCATCAGAAGGATTCAACCACTAGAAACATAGATAGCTGGTTTTGTGATGACCGGGAGAATCGCAAGGTGACTTGCCTACTGGGTGTGAAGGCAGGGCTGCCCAGAGGATTCAGGAGGCCTAGGGCAAAGCAATTTCGGGGGCTCCTTCCATAAAAAAAAAGTTGCAATACCACAGAATACTATATTCTCGTGGGGGGCCCTGTGGGGCCTGGGGCAAATTGCCCCACTTGCTCCCCCCGGGCGGTCCTGTGTGAAGGTTGCAGATCTCTCAAGACATCTAGATAGACTTATGTGTAGTGCTGGGGAGGAGCCGGTGGTTGTGGTATATGTAGGCACCAATGACATAGGGAAGGATAGGAGAGAGGGAGAGAGGTCCTGGAGGCCAAATTTAGGCTGCTAGATAAGAGATTGAAGTCCAGGACCTCCGTGGTAGCATTCTCTGAAATGCTTCCAGTTCTACGTGCAGGGCCACTTAGACAGGTAGGACTGCAGGGTCTCAATGCGTGGATGAGAGATGATGGTGTAGGGAGGAGAGATTTAGATTTATTAGGAACTGGGGAACCTTTTGGGAAAGGAGGAGCCTATACAGGAAAGATGGGCTCCACCTAAACCAAAATGGAACCAGATTGCTGGCACTTAAAATTAAAAAGGTCATAGAGCAGTTTTTAAACTAAGGGCTGGGGGGAAGCCGACAGGTGCAGAGGAGCACATTTTTCAGACAGAGACATCCCTTAGGGAGGATCTATTAATGGAAATACTGATCTGATGAGAAACAGTCAAATGATCTGATGAGAAACAGTCAAATGAAAAAGAGTCCCAGTCAATTACATCACGTAATGGCAGACAGTTAAAAAGTGACAATTTTTTAAATGCTTATATACAAATGCTAAAAGTCTAAATAATAAGATGAGTGAACTAGAGTGCCTCATATTAAATGAGGATATTGATATAATAGGCATCACAGAAACTTGGTGGAATGGGGATAATCAATGGGACACCATAATACCAGAGTACAAAATATATCAGAAGGACAGAATAGTGCTGGTGGGGGAGTGGCCTATATGTGAAAGAAAGCGTAGAGTCAAATGAAGTAAAAACCTTAAATGAACCAAACTGTACAATAGAATCTCTATGGATAGTAATTACATGCTTGAATAATAAGAATATAGTAGTAGGGATATACTATCGACCTCCTGACCAGGATGGTGATAATGACTGTAAAATGCTCAGGGAGATTAGAGAGGCTATAAAAATTAAAAACTCAATAATAATGGGGGATTTCAACTATCCCCATATTGACTGGGTACATGTCACTTCAGGACGGGATGCAGAGATAAAGTTTCTTGACACCTCCCCACCCCCAGCACCAGCGGGGGTCCCTGGCTGCACGCCATCCCACCCCCACCCCCCCACCAAAGCAGCTGGGCCGCCCTCCCCCAGCACCCACAGGGCCCCTGGGCAGCCCCACCCCCACCCCCCAAGTTTTATTCACTGGTATTTTTACTAAAAGTCATGGACAGGTCACGGGCTGTGAATTTTTGTTTACTGCCCGTGATCTGTCCGTGACTTTCACTAACAATACCCGTGACTAAAACGTAGCCTTATTCATAAATGATCTGGAAAAAGGGGTAAACAGTGAGGTGGCAAAATTTGCAAATTATACATAACTACTCAAGATAGTTAAGTCCAAAGCAGACTGCGAAGAGTTGCAAAGGAATCTCACAGAACTGCGTGACTGGGCAACAAAGTGGCAGATGAAATTCAATGTTGATAAATGCAAAGTAATGCACATTGGAAAACATAATCCTAACTATACATACAAAAGGAAGGGGTCTAAATGAGCTGCTACCACTCAAGAAAAAGATATTGGAATCATTGTTAATAGTTCTCTGAAAACACCCACTCAGTGTGCAGCTGCAGTCAAAAAAGCTAACAGAATGTTGGGAATCATTAAGAAAGGGATAGATAATAAGACAGAAAATATCATATTGCCTCTGTATAAATCCATGGCACACCCACATCTTGAATACTGCATGCAGATGTGGTCGCCCCATCTCAAAAAAGATATATTAGAATTGGAAAAGGTTCAGAAAAGGGCAACAAAAATTATTAGGGCTATAAAACAGCTTTCGTATGAGGAGAGATTAATAAGACTGGGACTTTTCAGCTTGGAAAAGAGACAACTAAGGGGAATATGATAGAGATCTATAAAACCATGACAGGTGTGGAGAAAGTAAATAAGGAAGTGTTATTAACTCCTTCTCATAACACAAGACTTAAGAGTCACCAATTGAAATTAATAGGCAGAGGGTTTAAAACAAACAAATGGAAGTATTTTTTCAAACAACACACAGTCAGTCTGTGGAACTCTTTGCCAGAGGATGTTGTGAAGGCCAAGACTATAACAGGGTTAAAAAAAGAACTAGATAAATTCATGGAGGATAGGTCATTCAGTGGCTATTAGCCAGGGTGGGCAGGGATGGTGTCCCTAGCCTCTGTTTGCCAGAAGCTGGGAATGGGGGACAGGGAATGGATCACTTGATGACCTGTTCTGTTCGTTCCCTCTGGGGCACCTGGCATTGGCCACTCTCGGAAGACAAGATACTGGGATAGATGGACCTTTGGTCTGACCCAGTATGGCCGTTCTTATGTTCTTAAAGTGTAAGAACCCAGAAGTTGATGTGGAATAATCTGCTTCCCATGAAGTTCAAATCCTAACCCACAATTGTCTGAGACTGACTTAAGCTCTGACAAAGGACATTTAATATTCCTACCTAAACCTTTTAACTTTAATTCTAGTAACTCTGGATAGTCCAGTTATCCACATAAATGTCCAATTTCCTAATTTATTGGCCTTGATGATATCTGTGGCAGCGAGTTCCACAGTCTAATTATATTTTGTATGGAAAAAGTATTTCCTTTGATCACTTTTGCAATCAGTCTGTGGCATCCTCCAAGCACATTCCCCTAGTCTTGGGCTCGGGACAATTTCTGACACTGCTTCCTGTTTCACCACAGCTAGTGTCCCAATAGGGCAGGCAGACTGCTCTGCAGACAATAAATCCTGACTCAAGCCTTCAGTCAGACTCCAATGGAGCCCTGAAAGGTTGGAGGGGAGCAATCACTGCTCTGGCTGGAAACAGAACTCCTGACTCTCTTGGCAGAGCAGGGAGTGCTGGAGCCATAATACACAGCAACAACATGTCACAAAGACACGGAGCAGTCAGGGCAGCTAGGCTCTTGGGCCAACGCTGGGCCAGTTCAGCCAGTGCTTCTTGAGCACTTCACAGGTGCCTCGTAATTATCAGGAAGCCTCTTTTCCCAGCCCCTTACAGCCTCCCAAATACTGTCCCATTCTGGACACATCTATTCCCTACCTGCCCCCTCCCCATAGCACAGGGCTCAGAGAGAGAAGGGTGAATGCTGAACTGTTGCCCCGGCAGCCAAGGGGACAGATTAAACAGCTCTGCCAGGGGTCAAGGTTGGCACATGCCGGCCCTGTCCTCCCCAAGGGGCTTTTGCCCTAGTCAGGTGCAGGACACCTGGTGTGTTTGAACTCTCTGAGTCTCTAGCTGTTCACTCCTGTGGGAGGGCTTTGTCCTCCTCATCCCTGCAGAAAGGCCCACGGCTCTCTGGAGCTCTGCTAGAGCCCACAGCCATCCCCAGAGAGGCCTTGTGCCACCTCCTCCTTACCTTTCACAACTGCCTCCATGCCAGCAAGGATCTTGCTGGAGCCCAAGAGGCTGTTCCTGAAGCATCAGGAAACTAGTCTCACTCCAGAGACACCCCAGCCCTGCCCCCTCTCCTCCCACAGAGACCAGGCCCTACAGAGCCCTCATAGAAGGGCTCCCATGGGCCCAGGAGGAAGGAGGGAGCAGGTGCTCTCCTAGGCTCCCCTCTACCTAGAGGCATCTGTTATGGCCAGAATTGTTAGGCTCTTGCTCCCTGCATGGGAAGAAGTGGATGCTAATCCCTTCCCCATGTGCTGGAGTAACAGAGGCCCCCAGTTCCCAGTCACGGGTTCTAGGCTTTAGTGACTGGCCCTCACGTTCCATTGCAGCCTCCTATCTGGGGTGTTAACCTGAGCTCGCCACGTGCGTGAGTCACATCCCATAATTCTGGCACTCTGATTTGGGGCAGCTGTTGAGTAGGAGGCAGGTGATGGCTGGTTAATTGGTGCAGTCGCCTGAAAACTGGTGCAAGCTTCAGTTAACCAGTGTCTGGTATATAGGAGGTACCATTTGCTCTCCGTGTGAGCTGGGATTATAAGGTGAGGATAAACAGCGACAGGAAGTTCCATGTGCTCTCCTGACTAGGCAGCTGCCGTTCTGTGAGGGAGGCAGGATGGTGCTAGGGATACGGCCTGCCTCGGGGGCCAGTACACCTGGGTTCTAGTTCCGGCTCTGCCACAGAGCTGTTGTATAGCACTGGCCTCCCTCTGCCACAGCTGTCCAGCCATATACCTCCAAGATGGCTCACGTTATGCCCATTTTACAAATGGGGAAACAAAGGGTTTGGCTACACATCGAATTAGTCTGGAACAGCTCCTGGGAGTCAATTCACCCCCTATCTTTATCTGAATTAATCTGGGAGAGTAGAAGCTTTGCAGAGTAGAACAGCTGCTAAGAGACTTTCATAAGGACAAATGAGGATGATTGGGGGTGAATGACCACTCACAGGATAGCATGAATTCAAATGTCCCATCAGGTCCGTAACAGGCTTTACAGCACGCTGCTGAGACTCTGAGGCTTGTGTTTTCCACAGCCTGAATTTCTTCAAAGAGTAGTTGTATTCGGAATCATAAGGCTGTGCGGTGGTACCTTCCGGTCCAGAAAGGTCCCCTGACTTTGCTGACTACTGCAGCTTGGTCACACTTTATGTTAAGGGTCCATTTATAAATGGTTTGTAAAGGCTTAGTAAGTGTTCAATAGATATAAGCATGTTGCAGACAGTAGTAGTATGTGTTTAGGGATGGTCCTAAACACATTGGTAGAAGGTGTTAACGTCATGGTGATAAGCAATCTATTGACCTGTTGGACTTGGTGACAATCTATAATAACAATTGATTAACCACTTATTAGAATCTCTAGTAATCATTTACCAACTCTTTATAAACCATTTATCAGTGGAGCCTTAGGATAAAGTATAACCAGTAAATTCTGCCTTTTTTTTCCTGTTAACCTTCCAGAGCCCATCCAGCTCTGGGAGAGGTCTCGGAGAGTCGTTATTTCATAGAGTTTAAGGCCAGAAGGGACCATTATATCATCTACTCTGACCTTCTGCATAACACAGGCCATTACATTTTACCCTGTTACCCCTGTATTAAACCAACAACTTGTGTTAGACTAAAGCAAAATTTGTGCCTTCCAGAAAGGCATTCAGTCTGGATTTGAAGACAGCAAGCGATGGAGAATCCACCACTTCCATTGGGATTTTGTTCCTATGGTTAATCACCCTCCCTGTTAACAATTTGTGCCTTATTTCCAGTTTGAATTTGTCTGGCTAAAGCTTCAGCCGTTTGTGGCTGTTTCACTTTTCTCTGCTAGAATAAGAGCCCTTCAGTGTCCAGCATTTTCATAGTACCCACGAAGGTACTTCTCCACTGTAATCAAGTTACTTTCAATCTTCTTTCTGATAAACTGAACAGACTGAGCTCTGTACATCTCTCCCTGTACAGCATGATTCTCTCCAGCCTTTGAATCATTTTTATGGTTCTTTCTACACACTCTCTAATATTTCAGCATCCAAGGAGCTAGAGTCTGTTCCCATTAGCTGGCAGAGCCAGTCCAGCTCGGGGAGAGGAGCTGGAGTCTATTGTGCTCCTGCATCACCCACACAATTTTTAACTAAGTTTCATTGCAGACTGTTTATAGATCAGACAGAACCCAGCATAACTCTAGGATCCCAGGCTGAGTTTGCACAGCTGGAATCTAGGGGAGGGGAAATCTTTTACTTGATAACTGAGAATTCTGACCTGGGAACCATTGAGAACCATGTGGAGACCCACAATCCATCCCACACACAGTCCTATGTCTAGGGATTAGTCTAATAGCCAGCGTTCCAGGCTCAGAATACTGGAACTGATCTCTCTCCATTTACTGCTCTAACCTGAAATGTGCTTTGTTTTGACTGTGATCCCGGAAGGGGAATCTCGTTAGCACTGAGCATTCTATATGTAGAGCACAGCCTCAGCAGGACCTGGAACTGATGCTTTCAATTTTGGCCTTTTAGACTCAGCTGCAGAGGGGTCCATTCAAGCTACTCAGATGAAGCTGAAAAGAGCCCGACTTGCAGATGATCTCAATGAAAAAATTGCTCTCAGACCAGGTCCTTTGGAGCTGGTGGAGAAGAATATTATTCCTGTTGACTCAGCTGTGAAAGAGGCAATAAAAGGTAGGTCACAAGAGAAGCACGGCTTGTATCGCACGTGTGTGTACAGCACAGATTGATAAGGACATTGATACATATAGTGCAGTACTTAGATATGAGTCCGGCAGGAAATTACCAATATAAAGTTAAGAGCCATAACAGAACCTAATTTAGCCCATATTGTTTTCACTGAAAGCAGCCTCAACCAGCAGCGCATATATTCTCCTCACCAGGTCTAAGAGGAGAAAGGAAGCTGTCAACTCCTCCCAGAAATGTCTCCCATTAAGTTGCCTTGGTAAGAGGCTAACATTTTCAGTCATGCCCCTGTGCAGTCAGCCTCCCCTCCACATATGTTAGGCATCACAACCCAAATCCTACCCTCTGGCTAAGGACCAAGAAGAAGGCACAGCTTCCATCAGCCTGAGCTGGAAAGCCTCAGCATGCCCAGTCTCTTTCTACCATCCCTTCACCTCACTTGCCCGAAGCAGAGTCCAGTTCCCTTCTCTGCGCAGCCAGGGGACAGCTGGGGTGAGGAATCAGTCAGGGCTTGGGAGGCACCCCCACTGCATTAGTGCACTTGGTTGGCATTTGCTTGGTTGGCTGGTTGGTTTTATGCCTCTGCCTGAAGTGCCAGGCAGTGGCCAGGAGGGCTGGGAGAATGAGTATGCCTGGTGATGGGGATGAGGGGTCGTGCCGTGTGTACCATGTGGGCCTGATACCCCCTGCCTCTCCCTGGTGTGTCATTCCACTTAGCCCAGGTCTACACTAGCAGGGGGGCTCGACCTAAGATATGCAACTTCAGCTACGCAAATAGCGTAGCTGAAGTCGGTGTATCTTAGGTCGACTTACCTGGCCGTGAGGATGGTGGCGAGTCGACCGCGGCCACTCCCCCGTCGACTCTACTTCTGCCTTTCGTGAGCTGGAGTTCCGGAGTCGACGGGGAGCGCGATCGGGGATCGATTTTATTGCATTTACACTAGACGCGATAAATCGACCCCCGATAGATCGATCACTAGCCGCCAATCTGGCAGGTAGTGAAGACCTGCCCTTAGACTTGTGCAAAGTGGGTGTAAAACAGTCCCCAATCAGAAAGGTGGTGCTTTGCACTCACTCTGCACTGGTGTAAATGGCCTCAAGGCCCCAGGAAGGGACGAGTCAGGCCCTATGTGTCTGCACTGCATTTCAGCAGTGCCCCAGGAGACAGCAGCCAGGCTGGGACTGTTCTCTGATGCAGAGGCCACAGGACTCACGTTAGTGAACACAAGGGGCTTCCTCTCTTCAGGATGCTGGAGACACTCCCCCCTGCAGCTCCTGGCTCACCGGAGACACACAGCTTGTCACCCTGGGGTCTTGGTAAGGGCTGGCCCAGGCTGTGCAGTTAGGGCCTGGACTGCTCGCTCCAGCACGCTAAGCTGCCATGCTGACTCGCCAAGGGGATAAAGCCCACTCCGAGGCCCAGCCCTTTCTGAGTGAAATGTACAGGGTCACTTTCCACAGCCCCGGGGAGCCTGGCACTGGCCAGTGGCAATGGCGGGAGAGCTGTGGGCTAGGAAATGCAAGTTGCAGTGCTCAAGCAACTGCAGGGTCAGGACTGCTACTACCCTGTCAGCCTACAGATAGCACCTGCAGGAGGCATGGAGCCCAGCCCAGCCATGGTCTCTGTTAGTATTTCTGCATGGGGCTGGTACTGTTCCAGACACCCAAATGAAAAGGCACTTTCAATCCTGCCAGAATCACTCCCAATGCAGGAAGTATCTGAAAGAGAGAAACGAGCGACCCAGCAGTGACAGGCCAAGAAGGCTCATCTGTATGCAAGCCAGGCCCATTCGTGGAGGGTCTGATCCATCTCTACTAGTCAATAGCAGTCTTGCCATTGACTTGAAAGTGGCCCTGAGAGCTGGTACCATGCAGCCCAAATTCCTTGTTCAATAACACTCAGTCCCTAATTGTCACGGATTATTTCCACTGGCATGCCAGTTACGTGTACAGCCCAGTGAGGGCGTTCAGTGCCCCGGTTAGTGCTCAGGGTGAGCTGGAGCCAATGGCAGGGGCTCGGCTCACCAGGAACTTAGACCCTTTGGCAATATTGACTTTAGAATGACACAGGAAGTGGTGTGAGAAGCAGGAAGCCCTTTGACTCTTGGTTTGGCTAAGAACCCAGCATGTAGAACCTGAGCTATTGCAGCCCATGGTGAGCCAACTCGGCAGAGCACTGTCGAGCAGAGTGAAGCCTGCAGATTTCCCAGGCTGTCATGTGCAGTGGTTTCCTTTCTTGGCCCCTATTATTATCACTGTTCTGGTCTTGGCATATTTGGCACCTTTAAGGCCCAGTGTTGCACGGGTCACATCACTATAGTTCAGGGTCCAGTGTCACGCCCTGATTTCTCATGCTTGTAACTTTTCAATACACTAGCCTGAAATGTTCCAGGCCGGGTGCCTGCCTGAAGGGTTTTTCTTTATTTTAAGGGGAGTTTAAGCAAAATCTCGTCAGCCATTTTTAAATGATGGAAGAGTGGAAAAAATACATTTCCTACTTTATAAAAACTCCAGAACCGTGTCTTTGAATGCCGTTGTGTCAGAAAGAGCTGAGGTTTGGAGGCTGGAAGGTTGTTGGGGGAAGAGTGCTCGAGGAGGGTTAGGGCCTTTGCCCAACTGGAAAATAACCTATGGTAGGCACACTTGCAAAAGGCATCCTGGTCATGGCCTGTGCACTGGGATGTGCACACTAACCCACCTGGGGAGCACGGACTCCAGGGAACCCCCCGGCAGCACGAGGGAGGGCGGTTTGGAAACCTGGGTCAGAGGCTGTGTTCAGACTTTGCTCAGTTCCTGGCTCCTCCCTCGCCCACCAAGCAACACGAGAGCGTACAATGATCTCAGGCCTTAAAGGTGACTGACAATGGACAAGAACGTGGCTTTGTGCCCTGTGCCCTTCTGTGATGCACCAAGAGGGCCTGCAAGGTTTTTCTTCCCCAGCATTTTCTGCTTGTGGAATATCTGGGATTTCAAGGGTTTTTCTACCACAGATGAGCCAACGAGGGCCTGACTCTCTTCTCACTGACCCCAGCGTACATCAGGAGTAAGTGGAGTTAGCTGAGCGTAAAGCTGATGTGAGGTCAGAATCAGACACCTGGCGTGGGACCTTTCTGAGCTCACAATAAACTGGGCAGGTGTGTCTGAATCTTGAACAACGAGAGCCTTTCTCCTAAGTGCTTGTTAGGGGCTTGAATTAAACAGGGCTTAACAACCAAAAGTTTGAAACGGTCTGACTAAAAATGTCTTCCCCTGTTCAAAAGCTTAGCAGTCAGGCCCTGCAATGATATCATCAGGGTAAAAATATGAAAAAGTACAATGGGGTGTCCTGAAAATCAGTTTCATCTAGTCTGGGCCCACCAGCACCAAAACATTTGAATCGTAATCCTATGATTATTGCATGACATCACTACGGGGCAGAGCTGGGTTGTTTGGGTGCCTTATCTGTGCTTTGCCACATCTCAGCATCTTTGAATTTCTATTAAGAATTACCCGGATAATGTATTTCCTGGGTTTATAACACTTTGTTTTAGAATAATTACAACGTACTGGTAATGGAGTTTTGCCCTAAGTTAGTAATATGTGCTCTGAGTCTTAGCTCCAACTGATCACAGCTTGTGTCTGGAAATTAATACCTTATTATTTGAGAAATCATCCATGGCCACATAATTCAAGAGTGTTGGCTCTAGCCAGCCTCAGCTCCTGCCAGCAGAAATGCAGGCTGAGGGCCTGCCTGATGCAGCAAGTCTTCCTGCAGCAGGCCCAGAGGGGTGGAAGGTACCCACAATCCCTACTTTAAGAAGGCTTGGAGCTAGCTGGTGCAGCTCGGACAGTGGGATGGCAGTGCCCTGGGAGAGGTGTGGCCAAGGTGCCCAGGAATGCACTGATTTAACCTCTCTCCTAGGCAGCTTCCCCCTGATGGGCAGAGAAGCCCCCACCACGAGTTTAAGGTGTCCTCCCCAGCAGAACACTCAGGAGACGGTTTGCCTGCCCTGGGTGTGAATCCCACCTAGGCACAGCAACCAGTGGGTAAATCTACCCTTTGTTGGCTGTTCAGCCGCAAGGGGGCAGAGTCAAGGGCACATCTTTAAACAAACTTTCTGGGGTTCTTGAATGCTGAGCGCTGAACTGTGCAGCATGACACGATGTCAGTGCTTGCCTTTAGATTTATATAGCAAAATGCCTAAGTCAAAGGAGCAGCACAGTGTGTTTGCCAGGTCCATGATTCCCCTGGGGCCTGCAGCCCAGGCTCGGACACGGAGCAGAGAGGAGCACTGCTATTCTGAAACTTTGAGTCTTTTGTTTTTGCAATACCAGAAAAATGACGGGGTTTAAAATTGTCTTACTGTAACCGTGGAATTTTAAATGTTTATACAGTGGAAAGTATAGTTGACATATTCATCTAATCACCTCCAATAGGGCGAAAGAAAAGTGCTGAAGCCAGTCTAGATCCCTAATGTCCCAGCAACAGGAGGCTGCCTGTGCTCCACATAGCTGAGGGGTGATCTAATAGCCTTTTTTACCAGGTCCTTGTCATCACTTTGTCCAGTGCACTCAGGAGGACAATACCCAGTGCACTAAAAACAGCCCCAAGCAAACACCATCCTGCCTGAGATTACAGCAGAGGCATGGGATCATGAAACAACATGGATAGCCGCAGATTGCTGTGAGAGCAAGAGAGATAAGCCGAGCATTCCCCTCTCCCCGCTCCATGCAGACCCTTGGTATCAAGAAGTGAAGTAAGAGGCAGCACATTCCAGTCATGCTCTGGAGTGCCATGTTGTCCCTGACTGAGGTCCCCTCGGCTCACTTGTTTGGTGTGTATCTCCTCTTGGAGGGGATTTAAATGCCTCCTAACTGCCAGCCCAGCTGTACTATTAGGAAAAACTATTTCACTAGGAGGGTGGTGCAGCACTGGAATGGGTTACCTAGGGAGGTGGTAGAATCTCCATCCTTAGAGGTTTTTAAGGCCACGACAAAGCCCTGGCTGGGGTGATTTAGTTGGGGTTGGTCCTGCTTTGAGCAGGGGGGTGGACTAGATGACCTCCTGGGGTCTCTTCCAACCCTAACCTTCTATGATTCTTTGATACTCTGTGCTAAGGATGTAATGTGTTGGAATTTGATAGGGTTCCTTCAAAACTCCAGACGGCAGGGGAAAAAAAAATTAATGGAGTTATCCTGTCTCCTAGAACTGGAAGGGACCTTGAAAGGTCATTGAGTCCAGCCCACTGCCTTCACTAGCAGACCAAGTACTGATTTTGCCCCAGATCCCTAAGTGGCCCCCTTAAGGATTGAGCTCATAACCCTGGGTTTAGAAGGCCAATGCTCAAACCACTGAGCTATCCCTCCCCTGGGAAGATTGAAGGTGGATAATTTGCCATCTGCCATGCTATGTCACCCAGTTCTCAGGACAGCACCGAGACAGCAATTGTCACCGCCTGAACACCTTGCCCGTTGAGTCAGCTCTCAGCATCACAGAAAGCCCACAGTCTTTGTAGCTCCTGAGGCAATGTTTTGGCATATTTTGGTGCAACACTGCTCCATACCATTGCCTGCGCACCCTTCCTAGACGTCCCATGGTACCTTAAGAATAAAAGGTGCCATTGGCTTCCACAGGTTCCCACCAGAAAAACTCCCTTTCCTGGCCTTCCCAGAACCAGCAGCTGGTTTCATCAGGCCTAGAACAACCATTCTGTGCTACATGACACCTGATTTTGGTTTCTGGGTGTTACTGGCTCCTGCAGCTTCCCAGGCACATCAGTTCTTAAGGCTTCTGGTGATAGAGAAATCCTTGCCCTGACAAGGAGGGTGCAGAAAGGCTGCCAGCCAGGCGCAATGGAGTATGTTAGATCCTGGCAGAGGCTAGGCAGGCAGCACTTGCATTTCTGGAGGGAGCGCAGACTGTCTGCAGCCTAGAAATCACAGCCTGACAGCCTTGGGAGGGGAACACAGCCCATTGCTGGATGGGGACAGCAGCTGCTGCAGCAGGCAGATCCAGGGCAGTGCCCTGCAGGCAAGAGGATGGCTTGGAGGGAGGAGCTCACTGAGGCCTGGTCTACACTAACCCCCCAAGTCGAACTAAGGTACGCAACTTCAGCTACGTGAATAACGTAGCTGAAGTCGACATACCTTAGTTCGAACTTACCGCGGTTCAGACGCGGTCCACACGCGGCAGGCAGGCTCCCCGTCGACTCCGCGGTACTCCTCTCGCCGAGCTGGAGTACCGCAGTCGACGGCGAGCACTTCCTGGTTCGACTTATCGCGTCCAGACCAGACGCGATAAGTCGAACCCAGAACTTCGATCCCCAGCCGCCGAACTAGCGGCTGGGTGTAGACCAGCCCTGAGACAAGGTTACCTCATTATCTCTCTCCTCAGCTGCCCTGGGGCTGAGGTTGAGGGGTTTGTTCCAATAGTTGGAGCCCTTGTGCTGAGGGTATTTGCACCCTGGAGTCCCTGGCAGCCCTACCAAACCACTTGTGTGTTACTCCCGCTACATGAGTGTTAGTGGGACTGGAGCCCTTCAAGCCCAGAGCTAGGAGCACTGCGGCTCATGTCTAGGAGAGCAGCCCCCAGGCCACTAGAATGCATAGCCCAGCACTTAGCCAAGCTCTGCATTGGGGGACCTGTAACTATGGTAACTAGCAATGCTCCTGTGGTATCTCCTCCTACCAAGTGCCTTGGGCAGATGACCACAGACTCCAGGAGCTCCCCTAGTGCCTAGCTGGCGACAGCAGGGCCAGTGACTTAGCAAGCTATCCCACACACGATGGGGTCTCTCATCTGCTTTCTCCCTCCGGAGAACACACCCTGTGCAAAGCGAAGGGGCGAGAATGCCTATCTGGTCAGACAGAAGGGAGAGGTCAGAACACGACAGAGCGTGTCGGTAAGAAGCTGCACACTGCTGGGCTTGGAGCATGGACAGGTGGACTACTCTTCCCCAGCCCTTCCTCTTTCCCCGAGCTATCTGAGTGCAAAGCTGCATGATAAGACTGGGCAGTGTATGACTGCAGCAGCAGTAATCCTTCTGTTACCCACCCTCCTGCCTAAGCCTTCCCGGGGGTCTTGCAAAATAGCCTTGCTTCTTCAGCACTTTGCTTATCAGCACAACCCTGGGGTCAAGAGCTCTTGTCCATCTGAGTGTGGGACACTGCCCTGGGAATCCTCCGGAGGAGTGTCTGGACCAGGCTTTGCTGGGATTCCGGAAGCGCAGTTAATCATTTGGAGCATTTCTTCCAACTCTTTGTACTTTGTGCAGAGAAGCCAGGGGAGGGTTGGGGCCTGGAGATTTAAGACCTTTGTTTGATTCAGTCCTTGGCTTCTCTGTGGAGGCTCCAGACAGGCTCAGTGCATCCATCGGATTTGTGATTTAGACATTCGACCAGTGGGAGGAGCCCCCTCCCCAACTCATTTCATACAGGCTGCTAGGCGCTAGCCCCTCTGGTGGGAACAGTTTCACATACCGCTGGATTCAAACCAACCCCCTAGGTGGGAAATACTCCTCCCTCCCCGAGCTACTGCCCGAGTCGACCAATCCCGGTGTTCTTTGGAGATGAACAACACACTCATATTCTGCAGTTAAGCACCTCAATCTGTATTCAGGCTCATAACCCCACAGCCTGATTTGCAGAGGTGCTGAATACCTGCAGCTCCCATGGATTACACTGGGTGCAGTAGGGGCCTATTACACTATTTCCCAGGCTCCAATTGCCTAGCCAAGCTCCTAGGATACCCCACTTTCCTTAAAGACCCTCAGTCAACATCATCCCATTCACCAGAGGGGAGCAGAATCACTGTGCTGCATTTGCCCACGAGAGTGTCGCTCACTAGTGTGCTGCCTCCACAACATGCCCAGTCAGGCCAATGAGAGAGCAGGAGCCTAGATCACCATATTTTTGCACATCCATGTTGGGAGGAAAAATATTAGGGCTTAATGATTGAAATGCCCCAAGTTTCCAGGGCCTGATCCCCACAGCCTGCTTTGGAGCAGATGGATACAAATGGGAAACAGACAGACACATCTGAAATAAAATCAGTTCAAAGGATGATAACCAGAATAAGCCAAAATCCCTCTGCAGCGTAGAGATTTCAATGGGGCAGGTTTTTCAAAATCTCTCCCTACTGCCCTCTGTGATGCTCTTCCCTGTCCCTCTACATGAGCCTGCAGGGCACTGTCCTCTGGAGCTCCTGCAGTCTGAGCAGCTTGCCTGACCTCTCCCCTCATGGACTCTCCATCTCAGCTCAGATCTCAGCTGCACTTCTGTGAGCCCCTTACTAGAAAGCCCAGATCTGTAGGTGGATGTGTACAGAGTATTAGGCATAAAACGGGCACAGAGACACCAAAACCTGATATGATTTTCCGGGAGTTGTTTCTTGGGCACCCCAATGGGATGCCCATGTTTGAAAACCATGTTCTCCCATCTGAATGGCTGAGCTCTTTCTGAAAAGCCAATCAGGAGAACACTTGTATGAAAGATGCTGCACAAAATACAGCTCCATATCACAGCCAGCATTATCTGAAATGCCCATACTGGAATCAGGGCACTGTTCCCAGGGGCTATTGCTCATTCCATCAAAATCCCCCTCCCCTCCTCAGCTCTGCTCAACGTGCTCCCACGCCAGGTACTGGGGTTTGGGCTTGTGTATTGTAGGGGGGGTTGGTAGAGCCGCTGAGATGGTTCATTGCTAAGGCTGTCTGTTTACGCACCACTGACCCATTGCCTTTGTTTCACTTGTTAAGGTGCCCAGGGGAGCTTCTCTAAATCAGCTGATGCTTTTGCCTTTGAAGAAGACAGTAGCAATGATGGCCTGTCCCCAGAGCAGGCCAGGAGGGAGGATTCGCAGGGCTCCACAGAATCACCAGCAGGCACCAAAAACTCAGAGGCAATTTCCTCTGCCACATCAGGGACAACTCAGGTAAAAAAAAAGCAAGTGTTCTGTGGGCAAGCCAGGGCTTGGCCCCGGGAGCCAGCTTGGGGAAGCCTGTCCCCTCTGCCCAGCGAGGGCATTCGGACATCCACCCAACACTCTGAATGCAGAAATACTCTGCACCCCGTGGGGGGGGTGCTCATCCCCTTGGGCAGGCAACGCCCAGGGCTCAGGAACTTACTGCTGGGTTACTGTGGGGCTGCAGTGCAGAGCCCTCCTGAAAGCTGCTTGCAGTGCTGACTCTTCTTTCTCCCCCTTGCATGCACGCCCTAGAGCAACCTTTACGTGAAGGCTTTAAACAACCGCCTTCCACCCATCCACATGGTCATGGGGAAGCGTGTGCTTGCTAGGGAGGGGGCTGATTCTGCCTCCGCTTCAGCCCACGCTCAGGAGACCATCCCTACTCCAAGAGTCCCACAGACAGCAATGGGCTCAGAGAGGTTGTGCTCAGTGTGAGCAAAGGAGGCAGAATCTGGCCTTGGGAAGCTAGCATAGTAGCCTCCTATATAGAGTGGAGACACGGGGAGCAATGCCTAGGCTGACCATCCCTGGGAGCTCTCAGACTGGCACAGGCTGCTTAAAAGAAAGCAGAGATGTGACCTGCCTGGCTCAGCCTTCTTGTACAGCCAGCTGCCCTGGAGTCTCCATGGAGCCTAACTGCTTCATTGCTTCCTTTGGTCTATTTCTTTGCTGTATATCTGGGCTGGATGGGACAGAGAGAGAGCATCTAGCTCGATGCCACATGCTGTGAAAAAGCTCACTCACTCCCAGCCCAGCCCGCCCTGGCAAGGGACATTCAGGTCACATGGGCAATGTGGTCATGTGGGCACGGAGGAAAGAACAGAGGCCAAATGCTTGTGTAGCTTGCAGGGTCTGTGGAGCAGCAAAGGCCCAGTGCATTTCCAAAGTTTCGGCTGGTACCAGATACTTTCTGGAAGATGCTGCAGCAGAATCCCACACACTGATCCTGCAACTCACATGAACAGCCTTTGCTGTGACAGTGCCTTATGTCCAGTTCCAGTCCCTGCCATCACTCAATAGGGGCAAGGCTGTACCCAAACATTTCTGACCTTTCAGGGGGTCTGACTGAGTCTGTCTGTAGAAGAGGGAGCAGTGCTTATCTTTCTTCCTGTCCCTAGTGCTCTAGGATGCAAATGCCTTTGCTGTGGCTTCCCCTCTGCCCTTTCTATTGGTCACTAGGCATTCCATGTTAGTAGTTATTATTTGTATCACTGTAGCACCTAGATTTCCTTGTAGTTTTGGTAGCTTTAAGCATGTCAGCAGCTTTTCCCCTTGGAGACCACAGACAGGAGAGGAATTGAGGCTGAAAGGCCATGAGGCTGAAAGGGTGAGGCTTTCCAGACCCAAGGGTTAGCGGGAGGCATGGGGAGTGGGTACAAGCAGATAGTAGAACTGGCTAGCAGCGGGGCTGTAGGGCTCTTCTCCAGACAGCTCAGCTGGAGAGCTGGGCTTTGTTAAGTGGCATCAGTGTGAGGCCAGTGCTTTAACTAGCAGGTTATCAATCAGCAGCTCCCCCAGAGTGATGTCCCCGGGTCTTGATGCGTCTCTGTAACTGCAGTCTGAGGTAGTGGCTGTGCACATGGCTCTGGGGGAGGCCTTTTCTTCCCCAGCATCTCCCCAGTATTTAACAGTAATTAATACCTTTGAAGGTGATCAATGCTGTGAAAATGGGGGCCAGGCCACCCCGGGAGCCACACAGAGCGCTGCTGCCTGGGAAGGAGGATCAGAAGCTGCTCTGGGGATGAAGCTGCAGGCCATGCTATGTGTATGCATCCCATGTCAACCTCCATGGGGAAAGGGCAGCCCGCAGCTGACAATTCCATGAGCCTTGCCCAGGGTCCCCAGGGAATTTGCTCTGACAGGGACTTAATGAGACAAATGGGGACCCGGACTCAGGATCCCGAAAAAACAAACGTGTTTTCTCTTTAAATCCACTTGTTAAGCATGGGCTAGTGCAAGATCCCTGGGCAGGACCCACTCTGAGTGCACAGGCTGCAGGCAGGGGAAAGCAGGGGGATATCAGCCTCTGGTAGTCCCAGGGAGCACTGGGGTGTTCTGCAAAAGATCCTGAGCAATTGTTAACCTGCCAGTGACGGATTCTTGGCTAGGCAACTCTTCTCCATTCCAATGTCTTTGTTACACAGCGTACTTGGTATCGGGTACCTCAATTTTCCAAGCACTTATGGCAGGTAGCCAAATGATTGTACATTTGGTTTGTCTAATTGTATCAGCCTGATGAAACCAAGGCAGGGCATCAGGAAGGTTTGCTCTGACTTGCACTGAGAAATCACTGTATTCCAAACAAGCTTCTAGGAGAAGATGGATACAATTGCACATGTGAGCTGCCTTGTGGGATATCCCATGAGAGCGATGACTGCAGGGCTCCAGTTAGGAGCAAGATTTCATCCTGTGTCTTAGTTTGTTTCCTCTGTTTGACAGAGGCATCTTTGCAAACTGTGTTTTGGTGGCTTGGGTGATGTAAATAGTCCCGAGGAACAGAATCCATCGGTTCTCGTGGCGCTGGAGTGTTTAATTGCTGGTGGCGTGACACCAACAGCTGCCCATGTACAGACTAGCCCTCGTGCGTGTGGGTAGTGAATGGGGTTTGACACCGAGCAGGGGAGGTCTCAAGCCTTGTCCATGCTCCCCCTTACTCCCAAGTCTGGAGCATGGGCAGAGAATTGGAGTGCCCGAGGAGACACCACCCTCAGAGGTGAGATCCAGGCTTAGAGCTCACTCCTGGTACGAGGAGTACTGGAGGTAACTGGTGGCTGTGCAGCAGCACTCTCATTAGTGCAGGACCAAGGGCCTCTGCCTACCAATCAGGTTCAGCGCTTCAGGTCTGGCTACACCGCAAGCTGGAGGTGTGATACCCATACTAGCTTGGAGGCAGCTACAGAGCTAACAATAGCAGCGTAGCGGCAGCGGCCTGGGTAGAGGAAGAAGCTAGCCACCCCGAGTATGACCCGTCTGAGATACTAGGTACATACTCAGGGTGGCTAGCCCCTCCCGCCACTTCCACTGCCGCGGCTACACTTTGGTTTCTGGCGAGCTAGTGTGAGTATGTCTACCTGAGCTGGAAATGATATCCCTGACTCGAAGAATATCCCCACCTTAGATGTGATAACTCCAGAGGCTGCAGAGCCATTGCTGCAGCCCACACATGCTCTGCCCTGAGGAAGGCAGCCAGTGCATATTTAGAAGGATCCCCATCAACACTGTGCCAATCAGCCACAGACCGCTGGGAGGCTCACGCCCACTTAGGGTGCTGGCTCCATGACTAGAGAGGAAAAGTTTTCCCACACATGATAAGGTTTCTTAATGCTGCTTCCTATACTCCTGGACATTAGGTGCCACACGCTAATGGTGACTGATTCTTGATTCCAGGATCATTCCCACAGCTCTGAAAACAACGTGACTGACCTGACATCAGTGCAAAACAGCCAGTGTGAAAGCCCAAAGCAGGTGAACGGCCAGCAGAGCCCACCCCTCCCGGTGCCTGCGGTGGTGAAGGTAACGTATCTACCCCGTCGCCTTGCAAAGAAAGACAACACGGCTAGCAATTTAATTTGCTGATTAAAGTTTAGCTACATTTTCTTAATGCACTTTAGCAGCCAGTTTCAACCCGCAGTAACGAAACCCTGCCCCAATGCTGCATAGGCACATATGTGCCTCTTCAGAAAGTGCTGCCGTCCACAGGAAGAGGGGATTTTGATACTAATGCACATTTCACACAATCGTAGAATATTACAGTCATGATAGATAGATAGATAGATAGATAGCCTCTCCTGCAAGGTGTGCCTTACACCTCCTCCCTTCTCTCTGGTGCTTGCTATCACTAATATTAGGAGTAGCTTCTCCCCTCTACTCACGTGAGCTGGATCCTGGGTTCTTTTCTGGCACCTGGTGTCTCCACCCAAGGTGACTCCTCACTGGGTCATGCAAAGGAATGACACTCCCAAAATAACAGAATAACAAACTCCCAACTCCTCCCCCGCTCTGGCTCTCTCCCTGGCACCATCTCAGGGAGATAGTATGCCAAGGCTGAGTCCCGAGGCGGAGCACCTGCAGCATTGTGGCACTGGCTGGCTTAAATAAAAGTCCTCTGATTTTATTTTTCACTCCTGGGAGGGGCAGGACCCTCTCCCAATCCTACCAGGCTCACTGCTCCCTGGCCTGGGATCCTCCTGGGGTCTCAGCTGGCTCTCGGTAGCCAGGCCAGACCTCTTTGCAGGATGCTGTCACTGCAGGGCTGGAGCTGTCAGATCCATGCAGCTAGATCTCACAGCAGAGCCAGAATGCCCTGTGGGAGGAATGGCAGCTCAGCAGGGACACCCAGCTTCCAAACCAAAACCAAACTTCAGCTGTTTCTCTGAGTCAGGCTGTCCCCTGCTAGGGGTTATGTCCCTTGTCCACTTGTTATTGGTTCATGGACTGCTTGGTCCAGATCACCCCATGCAGAAGTCTCCCTCTTGGCCCACCAGGGTTCCTTCTGTCCCCACCCCAGCTCAATGCATGCTGGGAAACGGGGTCAGAAAGCTCTGGTAGCCATTATAGTTGTAGTCCTTCTGGTAGGGCCCCCTTGGGTGTGTCTACTCTGCACACAAAACCTAGTCTGTGGGATCCGGGCTTATGGGCTTGGTGTTTCCAAGCCCATGCTTGAGCGTCCATGCTGCATTTTAAATCTGGGTTTACAATTGCTGGACCCTGTCTCTCAGCAGGACTCAGGCTCTGACTCATCTCCAACAGGGTCCTAGAAGCCAGGTACTTGCTGACCAAGTCAGACTGATTTGTAGGGGGGTGGAAAGGGGCTTGTGCACTGCAGACATACCCATAGAGACTCAGTCTGCCACTTCAGGAGCTGGCAAACCCCAGAAAACGCTCTGTCCCCACCCAGCCTCCAGATATGCAACTCTTGGCTCCGTAAATGAGAGTGCATTGTCTGTTTGTGGCTTCTGAGCCAGTGCAGAGGGAGGAAGCAGCTAGGACCCAGGCCATGGGACAGACTGCCTTGGCCCCTGTCCTGAAAAGCTTGACAAGGAAACAAATGCAAGGCAGGACACGGGCCAGCAGCTCCTAGCGTGACGATGTGAAGACTCTTGATGAGCAGAAGAGACGGGAGGCTGATTGAAGAGGAGGGTGTAGGGGGAGATTTGAAAGGGAGGTTCTGGGCAGGTGGGCCTTAAAGATCAATGCCAATGCCCTGAATGGCACCCAGAAGTGAGCAGGAAATCCATGTGGGCTCTGAACAGCAGGCAGAATGTGCTTATTATGCCCAGCAATACCAAGAAAGCAGGCAGCGACATTCTGCACCAGGACGAGGTTCTGAGTGATCTTTGTGGGGACCCCCATGCTGAAGGGACTGCAGTGATCTAGTCTACAGAGATAGCAGCCACCATCACCACACCAACCATAAACATGCCCTTCTGGTCACCTCCACCAGCTGGGAGTGTAGGAGAAATCCCTGCTCCAGAAGTGCTCTACATGGTGAACCTCACATAAGGATAAAAGATGTACAGTGCTCCTCCATCCAGATCATCAATCCTGAGATTCTCTCCAGATGCTACCAACTAGAACCACCTCTGTCTTGTCTGGACTGAGTCTTTGCTTAGCTTGTTCCCAGGCAGGGATCACCTGGAAAAGTTTGCATAAACACTCTCCCTGTTCCCACTGCCCAGGACATGTCTCACAGCACACATTGCTGTCCTGAAAGACCACTCACCCCTTCACGCTGGGATCTCACGCTGGTCATTGTTTTATTAGAGTTATCAGCATGCCAAGCCTCAGGGTCACACAAAGGAGTTCAATACAATGCATTAGAGGGCTGGGCTCCTCGCACTCAGAGGAGCACAGTGTGTAGTGTGTGACTTCTTAGTCCCCTGGCAGTACACTGAATTAAGCTAATCAATGTAAATGAGTAGATGAGTAAGAGGACTGACCTCAGATAAGGATTTTAGTTGCTTTAGAGAGAGCAGCTTTGGGTGCCTCACTGAGCAGGATTTATGCAATGTTGCTGTAGCCATGTCAGTCCCAAGATATTAGAGTAGACATGAAAAAGAGCTCTGTGTAGCTCAAAAGCTTGTCTCTTTCACCAACAGAAGTTGGTCCAATAAAAGATATTGCCTCACCCACCCTGTATCTCTGAGCAGGATTTAGGCCTTTTGAACAAACAGCTGAGAGAAGAGAGGATGTTATTAAGTCATAATACCTCCTCTGACACTCTCAATTCTATTCTGCTGTCATGCATGGGCAGATCTCCCAATGCAACATGATTAGTGGACACCGACTGGGAGGTCCAGGAATGGAAAGGAAGCAGAATATCAGAGTCACCATCTGCCATGCTGACCTGAGAGCAGAACTTTAACCAGAGGAATGCAACTTAGTAAAAGTTAACCAGGTCCTTGGTGCACGTGTTATCTATAGCAGTGGTCTCCAAACTTTTTTGATCGTGCACCCCATCGGTAAAAAAATTTTGAGCACGCACCCCCTGCTTCCGGCCGAACTGTCGAAGCAAAAAAAAAAAAAAAGCCGCTCGGACTCCCGGCCGAACTGCCAAGGGGGGGAAAAAAAGCGGCGCTGCTCCGGCGGCGCTCCTCCTGCTGCACACCCCGAAGGATCCTCTTGCGCACCCCACTTTGGAGACCACTGATCTATAGTACAATGAAATGCACTAATTCAGTCTGTAAGTCAGCCTGTAATCCTCAATGCCCAAGTGACTGCAAGGCCTGGTATAAAGCTTGTTTGCTCATTCAGGAAAGACAATGGGGCCTATCTCTGCTTAGTTTGCTGCAAGTCCCCTCATTTTCCCAGGGCCGCCCGGGGGGGGGGAGGCAAGTGGGGCAATTTGCCCCAGGCTCTGGGCCCCACAGGGGCCCCCACGAGAATATAGTATTCTATAGTATTGCAACTTTTTTTTATGGAAGGGGCCCCCGAAATTGCTTTGCCCCAGGCCCCCTGAATCCTCTGGGTGGCCCTGCATTTTCCATTGACTTTAATGATCTAGGTAATTGCACACTGGGATTTTTTAATGGAAGTATTAAAATCAAAAGAGTGAAAACCCCAATTATTGTCCTGCTCTGCTCAGGAGACCACAGGTCTGGTGTGCTGCTCTCCCTGCACAAATGGAACTCCCCAGTGGATCCCATTTAAGAGCTACCATGAGGGTCAAGGAGTAGAATTGTGCCCTGCGAGAGGCCCTGGATATTGAATTCTGCCATAGTCTCAATGTGGGCAATTCTCTAGGTTCCGAGTATTAGATAGCCCCACCAGCTACACAGAGAGGGAAAAGAATACAAACTAGGAATGTAAAATTCAACATAAAAGGGAAGCTCCTTGTATGCTATTGGTACATCTGGTGTGACTGGGAGCAGGTGCATTACTTCAGTGATTGTCACTTAGAGACAGGAGTGGTCTCCAGATTTGGGGCTTTGGCATGTAGGCAGAGCCCTGGAGGGGAAGGACCTCTTGGGGCTCACCATTAGGATCAGGTGACAGTGATGACCTCAGGACATTACTCGTGGAGGAATTCTGCACCACTGCACATGCACAGAATTCATATCCCCCACAGATTTCTTTGCTTTCCTGCAGAAAAAATGACTTTCTGACAGGGAAGCTGCAAGAGCAGTCACGCACCACTCCCTAGCACAGTAGGTACATCATTTCACGCACCCGGAGCAGCTGGCAGAGAGGTAAATCACTGCGGGGCTGGAGACACCCCAGCCAGTGGCTTCTACCCTGAGCCGGGATCAGCTGCTAGTCCTGGCTGCGCTGGAGGCAGGAGAGGACAGGACTTCCTCTTCCCCTGCAAGGAGTGTCTGGGGCTGTTTCAGACCCACACCCAGAAACCTCCCCCAGTTGCAGGAAGCTCAGCATCCTCCCCTGCATCCTGCCCCCATCACTCCTCAACTGTGGGGGGAGGGGTCACTGGGACAGCTGCTCCCCCATCCACCCAACCCCCGTGCATCTGGATCTCCCATACCCAGATCCCCCTGCCAAGCCTTACCATGTACATCCAGAACTCCCCTAGCCCTCCATACCCAAGCCCCACCTCAACCCCTGCATCTGGAGCACCTCTTCACGCAGACCCCCTGCCTCTGGACCCCCACCCCTGCACGCAGACCACCACCCACTGAGCTCCCTCCACTCAAACCCCCACCATGATGCCCCAGTCTCTGCACTACCCTGAGCCCCCACATCCAGACCCCCAACTAGCTGCACCCAGACCTCCACCCCACCAAGCCCCACTCCCCCACACCCAGACCCCTCCACTGAGCACCAACCACCTTCACCTGGAACATCCTGCAGAGTTCCATTGCCCCTGCACCTGGAGTCCCCCCCAACGAGCCTCTGTGCATCCAGATCCCAGCACACCTAGACCCCCCCACTGAGCCCCTACATGCTTGGATCCTGCCTGGTTGAGCCTACCTGCCCTCCACACCTGGTGCACCTGGCGCAGAGGGGCAGGGACCCAGGGTGTTTCTGGGGCAGGCCCAGGCCTTGTGTTGCATCAGGGTCTGGTGCAGCCTCACCACTGAGTCCGTGTCCCGGGGGTGGGGGGGCTGCAGAGTGATCTCCCACCTTCGTGCAGTCAGTGGCCTGTGCTCCCCACTGCCATGCTGGAGCCTCTGCATTTTTTTATTGACAAATAAAACTTGCAGAATTTTAAAATAATGTGCACATAATTTTTAATTTTTTTGGTGCAGAATTTTTAAATTTTTGGCGCAGAATGCCCTCAGGAATACGGACATGCCCATCCTCTGGTTCTAGGTCTCTAAATTCATAAATGTGAATGTCATCGCTTAGCCAACTCCAGCTCAGGACCTGATTTCTCAGATAACCCCTGTTCTTTTCTCTGTATGACACGCAGTCAAAATCATCCAGTGATAGCAAGAACCGCCACAAAAAGCCCAAGGACACCAAGCCAAAGGTGAAGAAGCTGAAGTATCACCAGTACATTCCGCCTGACCAGAAAGCAGAGAAGTCTCCTCCGCCCATGGACTCAGCCTATGCTAGACTCCTCCAACAGCAGCAGCTCTTCCTGCAGCTACAAATCCTCAGCCAGCAGCAGCAGCAGCACTTCAGCTACCCTGGAATCCACCAAGCACAGCACAAGTGAGTCAGTAGCCTGTAAAGAACAATGTCTGCACAGCAGCCTGAGGCTTAGATGTTTTGGGGGGTTTTCTAAGCTCTCCTGCAGGTCCCTCTTCTATGCTTGTGTGCCTGTTGGTGCAGCATAGCAGGGATCTGGGAGCACAGTTTGAAAATGTAGCCCTGGTCACATCCAAAGCCATATTCTGACTGGCCAGATAGAGGGATGACAGCCACATAAGGCCTCCTTTGATCCCCCCTGAAAATGGACAAGGAAAGATAAGCATCCCCAGTCCTCTCTCTGCAGCCCCATCCCATGAACTCTGAAGGCTCTTGCTGATCTCCTTTCTGGGGCTCCCCATGCCCTGCTATAGTGTCTCCAATGTTGTTTACAATCACCTCTAGATGGAGCATTATATACTGGGACCTTAGGTCACCCCTCTAAAGTGAAGAAGAAAGCAGCTATGAGGAAGAAGTTAAATCATATTTTAGATGGGCAAGGGCTGTTCTTTGGCCACCCTTCCATAAGTAAGTCCCATTTTCTATTAGTAAATGTGGCAAAAACTGGACACTATTACCAAAAACTTCTCCTTTGTCATTGCAGGCAACCAAGTGAGCAAATGGTCAAAAGTTCAAACTCTTCATCAACTCCAGTCACCAACATACCCCTTTCTCCAGTGAAAACCACTTTTTCCGGACAGACCTGTGTTTCTTCTATCAAACCAGGCCCTCTCCCTTCCAACCTGGATGATCTGAAAGTGAGTGCAAACTTCCCATTAATCGTTTGTTAACAGTAATAGTATCTAGCGACACCGTACCTTACAGTGAAAATGCTTTGAAGGCTATCAGGCATCCCAAGGTAATAGTGATGAGCTGGCAGGAACCTAAACTTGCATGTTATAGAGCAAGCGAATGCAGCAAAATATATAAGGCATGGAGAAGAGCTAAGTGCCTTTATGTTTCACAAAGTGCTCTGACGTGTCATGAGACAAATGATGCAATGGTACTAGAGAACATGCTATTGCTGCTGTGCAGGAATCCCCTAATTGCCATCAGATTGAGGCAGGTGGTCAGAGCTGTGCAAAATATTTGCAGGAGAACCCAAAGTGATACCTCCTTGAGGAGCTGTCGGTGGAGAACAAATCCAGGAACTTCTGATTTGAAAAGCATGAGCTCTTACTGCCTGAACTTAAGGACTAGTCCTGTAGCTAGAAGCTGTTGCTGAGTCACTAACTCTTATATAGACCAGCCCGTGAGGGAAAGGGTGGGGAATAAAGACTCACACTAGATTGATAAAACAATGAGGAGTCCGGTGGCACCTTAAAGACTAACAGATTTATTTGGGCATAAGCTTTCATGGGTAAAAAACCCACTTCTTCAGATGCATGGAGTGAAAATTACAGATACAGGCATAAATATATTGATTGATGTGGGTCATTTACACACACAATTCTTTCAGGTTTTGTTACTTAAACTCAAACATGATTAAAGTCCCAGACCAGTCTCTTGCGGAAGCAGGGATGTGTAAAATAATCCTTATTATTCAGAGACATGAATAAGGATTAAAGCAAGTGGAGCATGTGTGTAATGAAGTCCTGGCTGAGTCATCTGGGAGGCCTGAACCTGAGCCATATGGATCTAAAAGCATGAACTTCTGTTAGCTAACTAGCCTGTTAGCAAGCTCATGGCCAGTAGCAGACTCATAAACCTCTATAGGAGGGCCAGCTGCTAGCAGGGACACCAAGCCCCATGAGAATTACTACACTGCTATCCATATTACCCATTCACAGCTCCGGCTCTCCACTTATAGCAGCTCTGGCTGCTGGAAGGAGGAATGTATTTCCTCTGCTGGGACACAATGAGGCTGTTAGGCTGTGCATGGTGCTTCTAGTGACTGTGAGTAGCAGTGAGGGGTGGGGCACAGTCCCATCAGGCAGGAGAACGCTCCCTGGGGGAAATATTCACAGCAGGGTATTTCCCCACAAGTGTATAAGGAGTTTGACAGTGAGGGGAGGTGCTGGAAGTGACTATCATTAAATGGCTGGCTCTGCTTCTAGGTGTCAGAACTGAGGCAGCAGCTCCGAATAAGAGGCCTCCCCGTATCCGGTACGAAAACAGCACTGATGGAACGTCTGCGGCCTTTCCAGGACTGCAGTGGCAGTGTGGTGCCAAACTTCAATGAAATAACAACGGTCACCTTTCCAGTCACCCCAACAAACACGCTGTCCAGCTACCAGTCACAGCCCTCGGCCAGCATGCTATCCAGCAGCTTCTATCAGTTTGGCAGCACCAGCTCCTCCCCACCCATCTCCCCAGCATCCTCTGACCTTTCCGTCAGTGGCTCTTTACCAGACACATTCAACGATGGACCAATGACTTCCCCACAGTTTGGTCTCCAACCATCCCCTGTGCACGGCAGTGCTGAAGAAAGCCTAATGGGCAGCATGAATGGAGGGAGCATCCAGTTGGAACTGGAAGGGATCGACACAGAGAAAGACAAGATGCTGGTGGAAAAGCAGAAGGTTATCAATGAACTGACGTGGAAGCTGCAACAAGAGCAGAGACAGGTGGAAGAGCTGCGGATGCAACTCCAGAAGCGAAAAAGGAACAATGGCTTGGAGGAGAAGCAGCCACCCACCCAGCATTTCTTCGGTGTTCCCATCAAGCAAGAAAACACAGTATCCAGCTGTCCATTCTCATCAAAACAAACTGCCTTGAAAGCCCAAGCCAACAGCTTGGATAAACTAAGTAACTGTGGGACGCCGCAGCTGCCTCACATTGTAAACAGCCTTTGCATGGAGTCAGCGGGCCAGAGCACCATCACCTCCTCCACGTTTCTAAGCCCACAGTGCTCTCCACAGCATTCTCCACTTGGGACTGCAAAGAGCCCACAGCATATCAGTCTGCCACCATCCCCTAACAGCCATTACCTTCTCTCTGTGTCCCCTGGCTCTCAGGGAGAAGGGCGCAGTGTTTCCCCACAGGCCAGCAATCGACTTCGCCCAGCACCGGTAAGTGGGGAATGCACAAGGCTAATGCCATTCTGTCCTATCTCGATGGAGATTGCACTGGTATTAAAGGTTGCTTTGGGGGTTGCTTGTCCAAATCTCTCTGACCTGGGAATGAGGTTGGGCACAGGCCATTCCATGAGCTCTCCAATGTGCTCTGACAACCCTGGAACACCAGAGGAACCGCCTGTCCTGCAGCACTTCCACATCCTTGCTCCCCGTCCTGCCTGGAAGCAGGAAGTGCAGCTGCTCCTAAAATGTATCACTCTGGCAGAATCGTAAACTGGCCCATGTGAGCATGACAGGGCCTCACTAAACAGACTGGGCTTTCCCCTGCAGCTCGGGCACTCACAGAACAGTCTTTGGCTTGCGGCATGGGAGCCCAGGCTCAAAGCGCATTTGCAAATGGGAGTTCTCCAGGCAGAGCCAAGGGTTCCATCCCAGGAGCAAACAGGGCTCAAAGTAGGGCAGTGGTGAGTGGAGTAGCATCTGCTCCGTCTTCCCTCACCAAGCTGTAGGCTGCATCTTTGTGACTCTACAAAAAGGAGTGCCACAGGTCAGGAGTCCTGTGTGCCTCTCTCCAACCTGGGCCAGCCGGCATACTGACTTCCTTGGAGAGAGCAGCAGGAGTGCCAGGGAGAGCTCATCACCCAAGAGCCTGGGTGTGCTGCACAGGGTGTGCCCAGAACAGCCACCACTCCATGCAAGCTGCCTCCTCGGTGCCTCCACCACACAGGCTGAGGTCAGAGTAGCTGGAAGGGCCAAATCCTGAGCACATGCAGTGACCAGCTCCAGTGAGTTTGCCAAGACCCTGGTGACACTGGATGTGTTCACAGAGCTGCTCACGATCGAGGGACAGTTAGGAACAAAATCACAGGAACATAGGCAGCAGCAGTACAGCACAGGAAGAGGAGGGCAGCTCTGGGAATCCGGGGGCACAGGCAGTACGGTTGCTTTGGGGGTTGCTTATCCAAATCCTGGGGGCCCTAAGCAGGAATATTTTGGGGGACCACCTACACAACACATACAAAAAAAGCAAATGGGGGGCCCTTGAGCTGCTTGGGGCCCTAAGCAATTGCTTAATCTGCTTATACCCAGCACCGGCTCTGTCAGGGGAGACTGCACACCATTGCCGACCTCCAGGGGTCAGAGATCATGAGTCAGCCCCAACCCCTGAGCCGTTCATAGCGCTGACGCTGGGTATTTGGTTTGTCGTGTGTTGTGCGCTCCCCTGCCATTCCTGGGGGGCGGGGGTGACAATCAGTGTTGCCAGTGCCCCCAGCTGCCTTGGGAGGAGGGATAGCTCAGTGGTTTGAGCATTGGCCTGCTAAACCCAGGGTTGTGAGTTCAATCCTTGAGGGGGCCACTTAGGGATCTGGGGCAAAATCAGTACTTGGTCCTGCTAGTGAAGGCAGGGGGCTGGACTCAATGACCTTTCAGGGTCCCTTCCGGGGATAGGATACGATATCTCCATTTTGGCCCCTGCTGCAGGAGCTCTCACCCTACACTGCCAGTCCCTGCCCAGCAATGAATGCTTCCCCAACAGCCCCAACCCAGACTTCTGCTCCTCCTACAGCTCTTCCCCCTCCCAGGCCTGGGGGCTGCAACAGGGTCCCCTCTCCCTGTTCCAGGCTGGGGACTTCCAGGTGCCCCTCAACCCCCTCTTCCCTGGCCCAGGCGGAAGCTGCAAGGCAGGGGGAGGGGAAGAGGAACCGTCCCTTCTCTATTGCTCACAGGGGGAGAGGCAGAAGAGGGTGGGACCACCTGGAGCAGCTGGGTTCTTTATCTCCCCCTCCCCTCCTGTGAGAACGGCTCTGGCTGCTGGGGGGCGGGGGGGGAGCGCTGCCTGCAGCAGATCTGATTGGTTGCTCACCCCCAGAAGGTGGGCTGGTGGGGCAGGCAGACAATCAGCATGCTAAAATTGCCAGGAAGTTGGAGCTTCTTGTCTCATCACAGATGGCTCCTGTACCAGCCAATCCTATAACAGCAAAAACATTGCAAGAGCTGGGACTGCTGTGCGAGTGACACGGGGCGGGGGGGCACTGTGGGTGTGACAGGTGGGGGAGGAGCACTGTGGGGGTGACATGGGGCGGGGGGGTGCTGTGGAGTGACTCAGGTGGGAGGGCCACTGTGGGAGTAACGCTGGCAGGGGAGGGGGCCTGTGGGGTTGATGGGTGGGGGAGGGGGAAGCTGTGGGTGTGACAAACTCAGGGAAGGGGACCCTGTGGGGGTGGCAGGCATGGGGGAGGGGGAAGCTATGGGGGTGACACAGGCAGGGGGAGGGGGCTCTGCATGAGTGGCGTGTGACCCCTCCCCCCGTTCAGGGAGATTAGGCCCCTGTCCTGCCCCATCTGCCCAAGGCCCCCTCCCTCTCGCCCACCGGGGCCAGAGGAGTCCCAGATGGCTGGCCTGCCCCGCCCAAGTGCCAACCTGCCCACCCAAGCCACACCAAGTCTCTTCCCATCTGCCCAAACTGCCCTGAGTGCTGACCTGCCTGCCCAAGCCACTCCAAGCCTTGACCGGCCAGAGGAGCTCTGAGCCCTGCTGGGTCCTAGCCCCAGGGCCATGGCAGGAAGCATTAGCGCAGGTTTGGGGAGGCTTAGCCTCCCCCAGCCTCCATTACATGCCACCCATGAGGCCCTGTGGGGGTGACAGGCAGGGGAGGGGGAAGTTGTGGCGGTGACACAGCCAGGGGGAGGGGTCCAGTGGCGGTGGCACAAGCAGGGTGAGGGTGCGCTGTGGGGGTGACTTAGCCAGGGAGGGGGCACTCTGGGGGTGACAGGCAGGGGGGAGAGGGCGCTGTGGAGGTGACACAGGCAGGGGGAGGGGGCATTCTGGGGTGACAGGCAGGGAAGCAGGGCACTATGGGGGATGACTCTGGGAGCAGGGCACTGGGAGTGACTGGCAGTGGGAGGGAGAAACTATGCAGGTTGCAAAGGGAACAGGAGACTAGTGGGTGAAACAGGGTGCAGGAGGAGGCATTAATTTTGATGGTAGCACAAGCAGTGGGAGATGGGTACTGGAGGGTGTGACACAGGCAGTGGGAGAGGGGTAATATAGGAGGTGACACAGGCAGCAGGAGCGGGGCAGTATTGTGGGGTGTCACAGGAAGCGGGGTTGTACTGTGGAGAGCAACAGAGTAGGTGTAATTATTGGGGTTCCTCTATACCCGAAACTCCTAGGGTGCCAGTAGCCTGTCAGCTTGAAGGCAAGCACTATAGATGCTTCAGCAGCTAGGCCTTGTAGCCCAGCCTCGGAGGGTCCCATACCCACTCAGGCATGTGGCTAAAGGAAAGGGTTTTACTAGGCTGGCAGGGAAGGGGCGAGGTTATAAATACCCAGGTACAGAGGCTTAAACTGTTACAGTTCAAACTGAGCAATAGCAGTGTGTGCGTGGGGCTTTTCAAGCCTCGTGCCTGGGGTGCCCTCTCCAGTCCAGTCTCTATTTCAGCAAATAAGTATTTGGGGGTTACCAAGCCAGGCTTAGTTAGTGTCTCTCATTGGGCCACTCTGCACTGGCTCCCTGCCCAGCTGCTGTCGCTCCATATACGGTCCACACAGTCTTGCACCCAGCTGTGATGTCCAGCAGTCACAGCCTGTTCCACACACAGCTCTGTTCCCTTACCTGGCCTGGGGGAGGGGATGTGCAGTGGGGAGTGAGCTGATGGGAGTTGTAGTTCTCTTCTTTGTAGCTCCATCACACAGGATTGTACCACAGGGAGCAGGGAGCTGGGTTGTACCATGGGGAGCAGCAGGGTCATGGCACAGGTGGCTGGGTTGTACCATGGGGAGCAGCAGGGGGAATGGCACAGGGAGCTGGGTTGTACCATGGGGAGCAGCAGGATCATGGCACAGGGAGCTGGGTTGTACCATGGGGAGCAGCAGGGGGAATGGCACAGGGGGCTGGGTTGTGCCGCAGGGAGCAGCAGGATCATGGCAAGGGGCTAGGTTGTACCATGGGGAGCAGCAGGGGGAATGGCACAGGGGCCTGGGTTGTGCCACAGGGAGCAGCAGGGTCATGGCACAGGGAGCAGGGGCACAGTGTCACCATTTTAATTTCCAAAGTGGGCTCTAATCATCGCCTGTATTTTAGGGCCTCCTGTATTTGCACTCGGGTCAGCTCTGCATGCCCAGCTGTGTTTGTGAATTAGGAGTCTCTGACTCTCCTGAACTGCATGTGCAGATGTCAGCGTTTGGGGGCGTGGAACATTTGCAAGCCCAAAATTTCCGATTGACAGCATTTGGCATTGTGGGTGGAGAGAGGCTGGGGCTGCATATGGTGTGCCATGGGGGGCACTTCACCCTACCTCTGCAGTTCCAGTCTCTGGTCACATTCTCTTCACGTGGCTAAAAATCAGACACCATAACCCAGGTCCACCTATAAACAATGTAACCAGGGCAGCTCTTCTGTCTTCTGAGCTCCCTGTTCCACAGCAACCCCCTCCTCTGCCCTGATGTGAGCGAGGCCATTGGGAAGGTTCTGAGCCTAACTCTGCTTGGCGTGAGTCCTTCCCAGCTGGGGCTGCCTCTCAGATCTCCAGCTGGGATGTCACACCAGTGCCGGGGGTCCTCACCTGAGGAGGGTGTGTATGACAGAGCAGCACTAATGACCTGTGCTCTCTGTGACATGGATCTGAGCCATTCCTCTGGGTTCCCAGTTGGGGTGTTGATGGGTCACTGAGAATCCTGGTGAAGAAGGAGCTCCAGCTGCTGCTGCTGGGATATGTGTGCATCACTCCCACACTAATCAACACTCCCAGAAATAACACTGCCTGCCACAGTCATGCTGCGCCTTGCCATGATAACACCATGGGAACAGGGGAGACGGGGCCAGCCAGCAGGGGCAGAGCAGTCTTGGAGCGAAGTAGAAGGAAAGGGAAAGGAATTTGTTATCTGCAGGGAGGGGGTTGGTAGCTAATCTTTTCACAGATTCATAGACTTTAAGGCCGGAAGGGACCATTCTGATGTTGTCTGGCCTGCTGCATAACAGGCCGCAGAATGCTACCCAGTCACATTCACTGGCAAGAACCCAGTACAAAATGAGCAGGTGTTCTAGCAAGTTTCCCTCAGAACCTCTGCCAAGAAACTCATCTTTGAGTTGCAATATTCCTGCTAGGCCAGTGTGTGAGCCCCTTCTAAGCAGAAGATACCACTGGTTCTGTAAATGCTCTGTGTCTGTTTTCTGGAGTGGTGAAATGGGTGGGATTAGAAAGACTGCAGGATAAGACCCGTGCAAGTCATTCCCTTGTGGCTTAATCCAGCCTCACAGTATTCTTCTCACCACTTACTTAGGGCAAATAATTGGGACATTTAAAACAGAATCAGTTTTTACATGATCATCAGAAGTGAAGGGCAAGAGATTTCAGGCTGAGGGGTCACGTATGACAGTTTTGCAAGGATGTCCTCACCCATGTAAACCAGATCTTCAGAGAAGGTCCAGAGTATTGACCCACTGTGCCTCTAGAGACCCTTTGACAAGGGGCAGTAGAGATGAGTGGTGGGGTTACTGCATCTCCTAGCTGGAGCATTGTCCAGTGATTCAGACAATTGAGTCATACAACAGAATTTGGGTTGGGTGTCAAAAAACAAGCATCACACTAATTAGCATAAGACCTGGTCAGGATCAGCCAGGGCTGCTGAAGTGTGAGAGGAGCGATAAGGGCAGAGGAGGCGGGTTCACCCATCAGTAACGCGGTATCTTTGGGACCTTGCTGTCTATGTTTGGCCAATATTTTTCACCAGCATATTATTTTGCCTGTTTTTGCTCTTCCTCTTGTTCTGGTGTAGGGACATTCAGAGCTGAGCTGAATGCGGGTGCTGAAAGACAAACAGCTTAAGGTCACCTCATGTTAAAATGCACAGGAACTGTGCATACAGACCTGAATGGTTTCCTCATAGCTAGGGGAACTCATAACTAGTCTCCTGAATCCATCTGTCCTGCCCACAGGCTTGATTTTTCCCTCACTTAGTCTGGTTTGGCACTGGTGTAATACCATTGACTCCAGTGGAGTTACTTCTGGTTTACACTGGGGTGAGAGGCGGCTTGGGCCCCAAATAAAGGTAGAAAGAAAGGCAGAGAGGAGCATAACCTTTTGCCTGTGGATTGATTACATTTCCCTATATTTCCCCCACGCAGATGGCTACGCAGGCAGGTCAAAAGTTTTCTATTCCATCCCCAAGTTTTTGTAAGTCAAGCCCAGCCCTCTTGGAGGTAAAGCAGCCTCCATCCTATGCGGATGCAGTGAAGCAGGTAACTGCATGGTTTTTATTTTCTACAGGAATAGGTTTTACCATTTTGATCTTGTTCTGTTTTGGTTGAGTTTTATGGAACTAGTGACTGTGGCAAGTACAGCATATCGCCTGGTCTGCGAGTGAAGCAGGCACATTTGATGTGTACGAGAAATAGCTTGAATTGACATTTTAGGCCTAAGTGCACAAAAGACGTTAGGTGCCTAGAAGATCACTGTGATCCACAAAGCCTGAGTTGGATGCCCACACTCCCTGTCTATTGAATGGGGGAGTGAGGAGCCTTAGACTCCAATCCACAAAAGCCAGCATACTAGGCATGAGCTAGCCAGTGGGAGAGGCCAATGACGGGGTACGTGGTCAGAGGTAGGTGCAAACACTCTCTTGGCAGTAGGTGCCTGTGCTGTCAGCAAGGATCCCAGAGGGAAGGAGAACAAGAATAACCCCAGAACTGTTAGCCTAGTGGTTAGGGGCCTTGCCAGGGATGTGGAAAGCTCCTCTTTTGTATGAACTCACCTGAGGGCCCGACCAACTCCATAGGCGCCAACTCCATGGGTGCTCCGGGGCTGGAGCACCCACGGGGAAAATTGGTGAGTGCTCTGCAGCCAAGCTCCCCGCCCCAGCTTACCTCCGTCTGTGTGCTGTCCCTGCTTCTCCCAGCGCTTGCCTCCCACAGCTGTTTCGCGGCGTAACAAGCTGTGGGGGGAGGAGCGGGAACGCGGCCCACTCAGGGGAAGAGGCGGGGCCAGGGCAGGGATTTGGGGAAGGAGTCCAATAGGGGAAGGGAGGTGGCGGAGTTGGGGCAGGGATTTGGGGGAAGGGGTTGGAATAGGGGCAGAGTCAGGGTGGGGCGGGGGGGGGGCACGAGCACCCACCAGCACCAGGAGAAGTTGGTGCCTTTGGATAGAGGTGGGTAGCTTCTGAGCGTGCTTGTCAGATTGGGTCCTGCATGTGACTTAGGCGGCCAAACACCTCTCTTCCCCCAGTTTGTGAATTTGCCCCAGGACATAGGTGGGAGATTGGCACCCGGATGCCCACCGGGGAGCAGGTGCACATGCCCAGCGGCAGGAACACAGGCACTAGGGAACTTTTACTGCATACTGTTAGGCGCTGAGTAACCCTAGGCACCTGTGGGAGCAGCTGGAGTTTTGTGCATCGCAGTGGTCCAGAAACTGGGCCTTAGCTGCTTAATGCCTGTTGTGCATCCAGGCGTTAGCTGCTAACTATTGTCTCAATGTGACAGAAAAGCATCAGACTTGATTTTATTTGAATACTGTGCTGGTGAAAGGTGCTAGGCTGACAACCCTGCAGACTGATGCCCTGGTCAAGCAGAGCAGAAGGGGCTAGTGATACGGGGAGCTCCAGTTTTTGGTGCCCAAGTTGAGACACCTCAGATGGATGTGAGCTCCAAGGGGGGAGGAGGGGAAACTTTGGAAACTTGGCCCCTTTGAAGTGTCCCAACTTGGGCAGACCAAATCACTAGTCACTTTGGAAAACCTTGGCTTCTGTAGTTAGACCCAGAGCAAATACAAGCTTGGCCTACTCTGCCCCCTGCCAGAATGCCTCAGCCTTGTGCCTGAGGTGGAGAGGGTAGCTCAGTCTCCATAGTCCATTTCGTCCCTCGCATCGCATGAGACTGCAAACAGGGTGCCACTTAGTGCCAGCTGTGATGGTGGATAGTTGTTCCATTGGTAACTAGACTGAGACCACCAAACTCATCCCACGTGGGCCATTGGATAGCACTAAATATTGGCACATAATGGCTGGGGGACGAGGAGTCGTTTTGTATTTAAATCAAAGGAAACAACAGGGAAAGTGCATTTCGTCAGCAAGGCTCGGCTGGCCAGCAGAGGGATGAGGGATAGAGGAGCAGGCATCTTGCTGGGGCAAGCACTGGGTGTGCTGGGCACAAGAGTCCCAAGGAGGCTGTGTGCACCCAACTTGGTCCTCAGGCTCCTGAAGCCCAGGTGCAAAGCAGAGGCTGATTTAAATGGTTGTCAAAGGTGGCTGTGCAGTGACCATGGAGCCTATGAGCTCAGTTCTACCTGCAGGGAGGGGACAGAAACCAGCTTATTGCTCACTAGCCACAGCAAATTAGGAAATCAGGAGCCAAGCACATCCACACTGCATGGAGAATCTCACCTTTCCAGCACTCTAGGACTAGCAAAGCTGCATCTTGTGCTCTGGCCCCTGGCCTGAGAAACCGCTTCTAACCCCCTGCTCTCCTCTTGTGGTGTTTTGCTGCAGCAGATGACTCGAAGTCAGCAAATGGACGAGCTCCTGGATGTGCTGATTGAGAGTGGAGGTAGGCAGAGATTTGATACCTTACACACAGTGCCCTTGCTGGAAAAGCATGCTCAGCGCCATGGTGATGAACATGGGACCGTGAGAGCCCCATTGGAGCAGCCCTCTTTGAGGCTGCCATCTTGCAGTGGCTTTCCCTGAGGAAGGAATGGCTGAGGCTGGTTTTAAAGATTTGTTTTCCATTACACAAGTGGAGCAGTGCTCTGGAGGTGCCCTGCACATGTCCACCACTGCTGGGGAGCTTTGCTTTTAACAAATCCCCATGTGTGTTACTGTAACCACTTTCCTGTGGAGAGCCTGTCCTGTGGTTATCAGCCATTCCCTAGAGAGAGAGCACCACCTGTGTTCCCTGGAGAGAGAGAAACACTTGGGCCTGTTCCCTGGAGAGAGAGAAACTCCTGTGCCTGTGCTCTGGAGAGAGCACCGCCCGCGCCCCTTCCCTAGAGAGAGAGCACCGCCCGCGCCCGTTCCCTAGAGAGAGCACCGCCCGCGCCCGTTCCCTAGAGAGAGAGCAATGCCCACACCCGTTCCCTAGAGAGAGAGCACCGCCTGCGCCCATTCCCTAGAGACAGAGCAATGCCCACACCCGTTCCCTAGAGAGAGAGCACTGCCTGCGCCTGTTCCCTAGAGAAAGGGCACCGCCCGTGCCCGTTCCCTAGAGAGCTCTGTCTGTGCCGATTTCCCATGAAGAACAATGATACTGTGATGCCTTCTCAGGGGGCCCAGAGCTGTTAGTCACTGTGTGACCCCTCTGCTCCAGCTAGAGAGAGATTTGCTGGTGCTAAGTGGCTAGCCATCCCAGACAAACTTCTCAGGGCTCTGTCAGCCCTTACTTTGCCTTACAGGTAACACTTGTTGCTCCGCAGTTCCTGAGCCCCCTCAGAAAGCATTCCCCTGGAACACCCAGCCCCTGTCATTGGCCACTCACAGAAATTATACCAAGTTTGCTATCTCCAACTAAGAATTCACGCTTTGCTTAATATTACAGCCCAGAGTTCCTCATACGATCTAACAAAGAGAAGTTTATTAAGAAAGATAGAGATTGCAATGATATAAAGAAGGATAATGAAAACAGAAATGGTTACAAATAAAACAGAGTGTAACACACTTCTAAGAGACAAACATAACTTTAGCAGGCAAAAATCTTGGTCTCAGATAAGCAGCTTACCTAAAGCACCTCTCAGTATCACCAGCCACCAGGACCAGGATCCAGCTTTCATGGATACAAAAAGTGCTGTTCTTTTTGCTCAACAAAGGGAGACACCCTTCTTACAGTCCAGTAACCCTTGGCACTGTATCCTTTGGAAGTGTGCCCCCAGATAAAGGTCTTCTCCTCTGCTGTTTCCTCTCTGGGGAGCTGAAGCCATGCAGCTTTCTTAGCCTGTTAATATGTTCGTCCCGTTTGCCTCAGATGCAAATATAATTCCCATTGACTTAGGCTTGCTTTACATCTGAGACCTATGCAGCCAGGTAAAGCAACATTCCTTTGTCTGGGAGAACCTCAGTTATCAGCTCTGCCTGGTTACCTAGTGTAAACCTATTTTTAGCACATAAATACAACTTCTTGAAGAACACCTGTACAGACATCTCATGATGCTTATGCTGACCAGTAGAATATAAGCTTTCATTTGATACCTCATATAACAGTCTTTAGAGATAAATACTATGCCATCCATGTGCTGGTTGCAAGGACTCTGTCAGGCATTGCTGACACAGAGTAGTGACCAGTAATGGCTTTTGTGTCACACAGTGCCCATTCCCCACACTCATTTACCATGGCCATGTCTAGGCAAAGCATTGCCTAGGCCCATGCCTTTGGGGAACACTGATTATGCCCCTTGCCCACACATACGAGCTACGAAGAGGCATTATCTGCTCTGATAATGGCGTATAAGGCCATTGTCTGTACCCTGTCCATATGCCAGTGCCTATCGGGAAAGCATCATTGATGCTTAGCTGTCAGTTGGCTTTCATACTAGGTAATCAAGCTTTAAAAGCATCTCCTGTCACTCGCTCCTTAGAGGGGCTGTCTCTGTGTTCTCAGGCATTGCTGATTATAGCGTTCCATGAGTAGGCCTCGTGGTGACTTTGAAAGCTGAGCAGTTGAGGGCTGGTACTAGCAGGGCCCTGTATGACATGGACAAAGCAGGCCATGTTGGGTTTTGGGGTGATTTGCCAAGAAAGCCAAGGACCCAGGTGTCCTGTTTACAAAGGGTCAGAGCAGCATTCTGATCTTGAGTCACCCCAAGCCTGAGAGTCAGTTGGGCCATCCAGTCTGTGCCGCACTTTCCCCCACATACCCTGGGCTGGCTCTCCTTTCCCCAGTGAGACCATGCTGATCAGTGTCAGCAGCAGCAGTCCCAGCGCACTCTTTGTCCGAGGTCTCTCAGCAGAGGGTTGTTGCAGTGTGATGGGTTTTCAGATGTCTCTGGGGAGCTCCTCCCATGCACAGGGGCAGCGTGGGGGACAGCACAAAGGCGTGTATTGGAAAATCAAACTCATGGGCAATGTAGGCTGGCATCCTTGGCGGCAGCATGACTGCAGATAAGAGGATAAGTAGTACAGGGGCTAAGCCAGGAAGGGCCTTGCAACTGAAGACAGGCAGTTTGTGTTTGATAAGCTGGAGAAAAGGGAGCCGGTGGATGGATGTGAAGTGTGTGTCTGTGGGGGTAAATGGTGCAGGGAGGAAGGAAGTCTTGCTGGAAGATGTCCATTTTTGCACTGATAAGGTTGGGGGAACCCTGAGTGGAGCAGAACGGTGGGGTAGGCTCTGAGGGAAAGCAGGCAGTCAAAGCATGTGGTCAGTGCAGATGGCTCAGGCTGTTACATGGCATGGGTCTAAGCTCTCCATTTCTTTTGCAAACAGAAATGCCAGCCATTGCCAAAGAAGATCGTTCCTGCCTCCAAAAAGTACCTCAGATAACCGTGTCTTCGGGGAACGCCAGCGCTTCACTTCCAAAGGCCTCTGCTCCATTTGAACATGTTTCCTCAGCCCAACTCTCATTTGACCACTGCACTGGCAGCAATGACACTCACCTCGAAGTCTTATTAAATTCCCAGAGTCCCCTGGGAAAGGTCAGCGAGATCCCCCTCCTGAAAATGGGCGGTGAGGAGTCTCACTTTGAAGGGCTGATCGATGGGTTTTCCAGCAAAGTTGCAGATGAACTTCTGACATCCCAGGAGATTCCTCTCTCGCCCATGGAGACCCAACTGTCACCCTCCTCCGCTGAAGGCTCCGGTTTACAAATGAGTTTCACTGAATCGCCCTGGGAAACGATGGAATGGCTGGATCTCACCCCACCTAGCTCAGCCACTGGCTTCGGCTCTTTCACCACCACCGGGCCCAGCCTCTTCAATATAGATTTCCTAGACGTCACTGATCTCAGCTTAAACACCACTATGGACCTTCACTTACAGCAGTGGTGAAAGGTGGTGGCAATACAGATGGGGATGTACAGCAAAAGCAGCCAACCACAAGTCCTTTCATTAAACAACAGAACCAACAGGAACTGAGTCCTGGCCCAAAGGGCTAATGTGCCAACCAGTCAGGGGAAACTGGAGTATTTTTCCCAGTACATAATTCCTATCCTTTTTCAGTGACTAAGAATTGTCAGCACAATGACGCTGACCCTTTATTTTTCACACCTATGTGGCTATTGATGCCTTTTAAAAATGAGACTTCTCTAAAACATTTTTTTAATGCTTTTTCAGTTTTAGCAGCCATTCACATGAGAACTGGAGTAGCTCGTGACATATTGTGTGGAAAAGAGACCTCACCTGGAAGGAAGCATGAAAGCATCCAGAACAGGGTCCAAGGCATTGCTACCGAAAGCCGCCTCATCTCCTTTAAGAAATACTGCACGGCACATCTTAGCCATGGAGAAAGGCCCAGTTTGGTCAGAAGTCTTGTGGGCAGCTAGTGCCATGCTCTCTGCCCACCACAGTGACAAAACACACTGCACTGTACAGCCAGGCCCACCTCGCTCTGCTTCCTGTCTCCATTCCAATTAGTCATTGATTGAAAATGGTTTTGAAGCCAAGTCCCCATAGCACAGACAGCTGCTGTCCAGTCAAGGGCAGTGAGTTGTGCCATGTCAGAGATGTGCCAGAATTCATGTGAGCACATCTCATATGGTCACTTTTAGTGAGTGAAAGCCAAGGCGTGTTCCATGCTGCACAGTTACATTTTATAATTTAACCTCAAAGAAGCCCAAACCACAGATGTCCTGATACCTGATTCCAGCTGCTCAGGTTGCTCATAGTGCTACTGAAAGAACCTGATGCACTGACGGAGCTGTCGATTTCCTACTGGTGTGGTATAAATAACTGGTGTGGTATAAATATGTCTCCAGCAGGGGACAAGGAGCATGTTGAATCAGGAAGTAAACAAACCGAAGCTCTGGAGGGGATCCCTTGGGCTTTTCTCTGCAGTATGAGAAACTTGAGTATGAACCTCTCCTGAACTTGCAGGGAACCCTGAGGGTGGGGGAGAGCCACAGAAATTCAATTGCAATAAATAGCCCCTCCTGTGTGTTCCCCAAGAAATGGAATGGGTCAAAACAGGTCCTTAATTATGGCTGGAGTTTGTGTGACCATCTGTTTGTGCAGTCTATGCTCCCTATGCCAGCCCTCCTCCCTGCCACCCCTCTCCTCTTTGCTCCTCTCTCCTTCCTTTTGCTGAGTTTACTGCTGCCCCACCAGTTGCTCGGCTCAGAGCAAGGTCATCCGGAGAAGAGCTGTGAATCCACAAGGCTAGAGGAGCTCGTTCTTCCCAGTTCATCAGAGATGGATGCTTTGCTGCAGCCCTGGCTGCAGTAGGAAGCCACCTGCCTTTCTCCTCTGAATCACGGTGCAATATTGTTCACCGGGCTCTCCGGTGAGAAAGTCACCATTTGGCTTCCACCAAAGAATCTGATATCTACTGTTTTAGGGATGCATCTACTTTTTTAGGAATTACCTGTCAGCTGTTTTGCAAAAGTAAATATTGTTGCTGACAAAGATTGTTAAAATATTTCCAGCCTGCGTGTATTTAATATTTGTGTTACTGGAAGGGCAGCACACTGGCCATGCAGTCATTTGGGGAAGAGCCCAGTGCAAAGGGACTGTGGGGCAGGGGCACTCCCACGTGGGTGACTTGCTGAAGGTTTGTTGGAGCCTGAGGAGGAGACTCTGCAGCCCTCTTTGGCCCCAGTGATGAGGTATTATGTTGTTGCATGTTGTATAAAGAACATGTTAATAGCTTTTTTAAGTCACTATTTAAAGCACCACTTTTCTATTGTACAAATGTTCACCGGACACTGGTAGCTAGAACAATCACAAGTTGCAATTTGTTAAAAGAATTTCTTTTTTTATAAGTGAGAGATTTTAGAAACCATTCCATGGTGAATTTTAATAGCACTTGAATCCAGAGTAGTTTAGCTGCTGCACTGCCTAAATGTACAGGGCTTTCCAGATAGTTTTCTCCTCTCGACAAATGTATTTCCTTATTTAAAGTGATGCTGTCAACTTAAAACTTGTAAACAGACACGTTTCCTCAGCTATGTTACCAACAACACCTTCATTATTAAATACCCTCTTGCCTTGTCACTCTCACTGCTCTCCGATTGCTGCTTCATTTTGCTCAGCTGGGAGAAGGACAGCCACTGAATTCAGTGTTCAGTTTGTGACAGGTTCCCCCCAGGGTGCCACCTGGAACCGGGGTACCACTGAGCCTTCTGACCCACCAGCCTGGGTTCCCTCTCACACTGTGCTGCTGTGACAAGCTGCAAAGCCCTCCAGCCCGCACTTTCACCAGCATTCACACAGGTAGGGACACACCCAGCTGCAGTCACATGCAGGCTCTCTAGCTACCAGCCTCCCAGCCTAGCACCCCAGTGCTGTACCGTCCTGCCCTGGTCAAATCTGGCCAGTATATGGGTTTAATACCTGGGCTGCCTCTCCCTCAATGTGAAGAGAACAGTGCACACTTGTGGTAACCAAGCAGAGATTTTCCCCAAGCACTCCAGTCAAAGCTCACTGGTTTGGATTAAAACATAAAATAAGTTTATTAACTACTAAAGATAGATTTGAAGTGATTATAAGTGCTAGCAAACAGATCAAAGCAGGTTACCTAGTAAATAAACAAAACACAAACTAAGTCTAAGATATTAGAAAGATAGGATATGAATTAGCAAATTCTCACCTGGGTGATGAGACAGGTAGGCTGCAGATTCTTATGGGACAAGCTGCACTTGCATTACAGCTTGGAATCCCCAGGTCTCATTGCCCTGAATAGGCCCTTCCCAAAAGGCTATCTAGACTGAAAGCATCTTGTCTAGTTGGCATTATTCAGGTGTAACTACAATTGAAGTACAGATACATAGTCAGTATTTATAACTTCAGATACAAAAATGATACATGCATACAAATAGGATAATCATATTCAGCAAATCATAACTTTTCCAATGACACCTGACATGACTTATCTTGTACAAAATGCATGATAATTATGCCATAACCATATAATAATATTATTATTATGACAAATATGGGGTGCAGCGTCACACAGTTCACTGTGGGCTTCTCAGGGGCTCAGCCTTAAGGGCTCTGTATTTATTTAAACTCCACATTTTCACTGGCAGGTTCATAACAAGCTAATTGGAGCATTTCTCTTGGTCTGAGGGCAGGAGCTTTGGAGCTTTTAGAAAATCTGATCTCTGGATCAGATGTGAGTTATACTGTCCCGTTAGAATGAAATGGCTGGTGTGCTAGTGGCTGCCCAAACACCTTATGCTTTCCCAGCGTGCTGTGGAAGCCTCAGAAGCTAAGCTTCTCGCACCCAGCATGACTAGCTTCTGTGTCAAATGTCTGCTGGGTTCTCTCGACAGATCAAGCTGTGTTCCGTTATCCCCTGGCTTGCTGCAATGTACCAGTGCAATGCCCTGCCTGCCAGCTTTGCCTGAGGCTCCTTGCTTCCCTGGACTTCGAGGAACAAGGAGAATGGCACAGCTTTACACATGAAACCAGCAAAGCTGCTGGCGCGTTCCCAGGCCCAGCTAGAGAATGGATTTCAGTTAGCTCTGATGCCAGTTCTCTGATCATGGTGCAGGTTGGAAATTCTGCAGTCTGATTGGATCATCATTTACTCATGCTGTGAGTAAATTAGCCAATCAGAATAAATCCTTTAATTATTGGATTGCTACTACTATTAATTGATAATAAAAAGTAAAGGTTTCTCTTGCAGATGCCGAGGCAATCTCTGAGACCTCTGCCTGTGTCTGGCTCTTCCAAGGAGACCCGAATTACTATAGGGCTGCATTCACAATGACACTTAGGCACCTAAATCTCTGAATCAGGCCTCACTGGAACTCACCAAGCCCCCATCCAGCTACCCTCGAACCCTGTAGGTGCCAAAGTGCCCTTGGTGCCTGTTTGCAGAAGACGCTCCTGCAGTGCCCTTGGCTCTGTGCCTGCTCACTGCAGCCTCATGCTAGGTGCCTGCCGCTGCACGACCCAAGAGAAGCTAGGCATCCCCGCCTAACCCAGCTGCAGGCCCAGAGCTCACAGAAAACAGCTGGGAGAGTGGGGGGAAGAAGGACGAGCCTCATCTCCCTCGTAACTTGTAGCTCAGTGGTTAGAGCACAGACCAGGCATGTGGGAAATGCTGGGCTTTGCTGCCTCCTAGGGGTGTGCACTAACCACCGAGCTATGGGGCACTGTGATGTGGGGAACCCCTCGTTCTTGCTTGTTGAAGCTGCTCCACTGTGGCTAACTAATGAGAGACTCATTGGGCCCAGAGAGGGAGCTACAGCATGAGAATGACGCTGTAGCCTAGTGGTTAGCCGAGGCAGTGCTAGCCCATTGGGGGCCCAAAGCAGGAATAATCCCCCCCCCACACACACACACACAGCATAATAAATAGCGAATAGGGGCCTCCTGAGCTGCTTGGGGCCCTAACCAGTTGCTTAGTCTGCTTATGCCCAGCGCCAGCTCCGGCTAGAGCTCTCGCCTATGACATGGGAGCCCCTGCAGCCAGTCCCCTTCTCCAATGTCTTTGCCTGACTAGCAGAGGCAGCTGCTAACTCTGCATGCTGGTGTTGTGGCTCCCATTTATAGGTGCCTAACTCTCCCCAGGCTTTGTATAGGGAGCCTGAATGCCTCACCCAGGCTGTGGATTGGACGAGGAGCCTAACATTAGGGACTGCAGTGCTCACTCTGAGTCCCCTTTGTGGCACTAGCCCTCTCTAGCTATTCTGAACACCACACCCCTGCCAGAGCCAGGAGCATCCTCCAGCACTCTCAGGGCTCTCTACTGCAGCCACCAACCTCCCAGGAAAAAACGGGGGCCTTGCTGAAACTCACCAGCACCTCTCCTTAACAGCCAGAGGGGGTGCTGGGACTTATGCCAGGTGGTCCTTAGCTCAAGCTGCAAAGCTCCTGCACCAGAAAGCCTGCTGTGCTTGTCC